GTATTCAATCGATTGTATCACCGCCACCTTCAACAACAGCAAGTAGAATAGCTATTGTAACATTTCGACGTGCTGAAGAAGCTGAATGTGCTTATCAAGCAATTCAAGGCGGAGCTAAAATATTATTCTCTACTCCTGTTTCTGTTGAATTACATCCAGGTACAAATGGTGAGTTATCCCCTGCCCCCTCCCCCCTCCTATTTGTTTTTTTCCTTTATATAATAAGCATTCTACAGTCTATATCTCCTATGTTAAGTGGTATAATGAGACGATTACTATTGACGTTCGGTGTATAGTGTTGGTTAGGTAAGGAGGCGGGAACTTCAATCGCAATTTAGGTTTTGAAGCTGCATCGATTGCAATGTGGCTAGGATAAGAGTATTTACGCATATCAAACCATCAACCTTGCTCGTCAAGCAATGTTAACTGACATCGAATTAGGTTGAAAAAAAAGAGTTGAAGGCAGTGGTCAAGCTAAAACATATCATCAGTCCATGAAGGTTTTGACAGTTGGTATTATTTGGCCATGTTAGGGTTAGCCAAATCGAAATTCTTTGACTATTGGCTTTGAGTGTTGTTAGTCATGTAGGGAGTTGTAGATTGTCTAATTTAGGAGGCCCTAGAGATTCCAAGAACCATTGACTTGAGACTGTGGTTGTCACAGCATAGCTAAAATTCATTTTCAATATCTTAGGCGCATTCACTCTTTATGAACTCCTAGATCCATTGGTTCCATTATAAGTTCTTTTGAAGTTTTTTTTTTACTTTCTGTATGTGCCATATGGAATGTGTCAAGTTGAATAATTACCATTATGTGTAAAGTCCCACATTGGAAACTCAGTCTGATAATCCCTCCTCAGTAAACTTCATTTTCTGCCTATAAATCGTCTGACAGTGTCATTCACCAACGCCTACAAAGGTGTATTATTCCACTTAACAATGAATGAATCATGTCTATCGTGTGATGACCATCAACCTAATCTCGGTAGATGTAGTGGAGATAATTCTCATCCTCGATCCGATGATCAAAAGTAGAATGTCGAATCTGATGAGTCCTCGGAGTCATAGATGTGTCGGTGGTTCAACGAGGTAGAATACTCGCCAACCATGCGTGTGTTGTTTGGGGTCCGATTCCTTGCCGAACTCGGTAAGGAGGGGGAAGGTTAGGCGTGAGCCTAGGTAACTCCACTCTGTAGAAATAACACAAAATGCTATGAAAAAAAGTTCGGAAATTAGGCGTGAAACTATGAGCCTGCAGCTACAGTGATTGGAAACTCCTTAGGAGACGGAGTTGTGTGTGTGTATGTGATGGTCATTCGCCTGCATTTATCTTCATTTCTTATATGTATATGTCTGAACCAAGTTCACCTTTAACAGTTTGAAAAAATTTGGGCATTTGATATATGTGTATGGGTATGTGATATATTCATTATTATAAAATTTTTTTACTAACGTCTCATTATTCGATGCTTGTCAATCAATATCACATGTTTGAGTCTAGTATCTGGAATATAAAACTCTACTGTAGTGCGTTTTGTTGTTGTTGTTGTTGTTGTTTAGTTATTATGATATCAACATACAAACACACATCCAGCACTTCTCCACTTATACATAGGCTGCGTGACCATTGGATTATCAAAGTATAGCTTCACAGTGTTTACACACAGATAGATTGATGTGTATTGATGTGTGTGTGTGTTTGTTGTAACGTTGGCAATTGATTTCAATTGACTCATACAGTAGTAGTAATTCGATTGCTTAGTCGTTTATTCTCTTTTCTACACGATTTCACATGGAAAATTTATTCTGAAAAAGAACGGATTAAGATTTCAGCTTTTAAGCTGAACTCCTTTATGGTGAATAAGTAGTGAAGAGGAGTTGAATGTGTAGATCATTTCATTTATTATATTTGGATACCGGTATCACTCCTGATCAACTGGTTTCTGATGAACCTTCAGTGAAAATAAAAAAACAACAACTAGTTTGATTTTCAAGAGTTAGTTTTGTTGCACGGTTTGATATAAGTAGGTTAGAGAACCAGCATCAAAAATAACATCCGGATTTTCAACTCCAATGTGAAGTCAGTGCTACTCACGATACGGATCAGAGACTTGCACTGCGCGTCATAAAGAGCATCTCAAACAAACTACAGACCTTCATTGACAGTTCTCTTCGCTCAATACCACTGAAGATCAGATGGCTAGCCAGAAAAGATCAGCAACAGGGATCTCTGGGAGCGAACCAACCAGGAATGGATTGTGAAACAAATAGTTAGGAATAAATGGAGATGGATTGGCTGGCCATACTCTGAGGAAACAAACCATCAAGTGAGTGACATCAGTAGACAAGCCATAGCTCGAGTGGAACCTGAACGGGAAGCGGCGAGTTGGTCGTCAGTGCGAGGGTGGGATGACTTGGAGGAGGTGATGTGAAGAGGAGATGAAAACGTGTGGGCAGACATGGAGCCAAGTGAAGACTCTAGCAGAGAACCGAACGCAATGGAGACGCACGGCTGAAGCCCTATGTTCCTCTAGGAATTAAAGGAAACAATAATAATAATAGGTTAGAGAACTATTGAAAACCACTAGGTGGTGGTCGCGCTAAAGTGACGAATTGGTAGAGGTTAGAATTCATGGGCTACCCATTGAATCGTGTCCCATTGGATGAGAAATAGTCTGCTACGAACTTGCCTTGTAACCGGAAGGTCACTTGGGTTAGAACTCTGACGATGAGTAGTCCGAAACTAGGACAAAGCACCTGTCCAGTACTCCAGTGTTGGTTTTCAATGTTTCTCTATAATTGGTATCAGTCTGTGATCGATATTCGTCAACTTATGTCATGTCTCCCACAGACAGACATGATATATCCAGCTACCCGTATGTGTAATTCATAGGAGAGTTTACTACGCTCTATTTCACTGCTGTCATGTCATATGGAGAACTTAGTAATGAATAATGTGTAAGTGTATAATGTGAGGTAAGGTAACGGGGGTATGAGATCGATCGATGGTGTCGCGTAAAGCTTAATCAATTGTGGTGGACACGGTATTTAGTAATACATACGTTGACATGCAATGTTAACTGAATTCGGATTATGTCGGGAAAGAATTCAGACTGGAGCATTGCACTAAATCCGTGAAGTCCATTGACTACTGGTCTAGGCTATAAGGCCTTTGGGATTATTTAAAAAAATCAATAGCTGGTGGGGTGGCTATGATGTGGCTCAAAGTCATTCAAAATGGTGCATTTTAGCATTAATGTCAAGTTAGAGTTAGTTAGTGCTTCTATATATGATTCAAACATTTAGAATATACACCTTACTGTGTGATGAGAGCATTTCCAACAGATGGTTGTAGACTTTCACATCAACACACATACCTTTTTCTTCAATGGTTCAATACTGAAGATCAGATCATTGTGAATCAGAAAGTTTAGGCAACAAGGAACTCTGGAAGATAGAGAGTTGACTAACAAATATGCAGAAAGAAATCAAGGTGGCATTGGACATACACACTGAAGTGGAACCTTCAAGTGACATCACACATCAATCGGGTCGTCGAGTGGAACCTGAATAGAGGAAATGTCGAGTTGGGAGGCGGGTTGGGTATAGGTCCGAGAGTGACCTGGAGAAGATGATATAAAGAGGGAATTAAAGCAAGTTGACTGATCGAATTCAGTCTACACCGAAGATAGGACTAGACACATGAGACACACTAGTTACTGACTAGTGTCTAATCAAAAATATCCAATACCATCCTACATGAAGTCAATCTCGCGCCAGCCCGAATAGCTCCTCAGTGGTAACGTCTCTGACTTTAGCACTGGGTGTTGCGGGTTCGAATCTCAGAAGGACATGAGTTGTTCCTTCAAGGTGGTTGCAGATATATGTGCCAACTAGCACGAAACCTAGTTATCAAGCAAGACTTCCCTTCCGATTTCCTCCAACCATCTAATACCAACAATTCACAGTGCACCGTGATGGTGAGCCACTCAGCGACATGGTGGCCCTACATTGCAAACTTGACTTATCGAATTCAGTCTGCACCAAACAAAAAAGGACTAGACACATTACACACGCTAGTTATTGACTAGCGTCCAAGCAAGTTGAAAGTGTTGGAGATGTTCTACTTATAATGCAAGCAGCGACGTGTATAGTAGGCATAATTTATACCTCAGTCAACTCAACAGTATTCATTTTACTATTGTGATGACTAGTTTCATAATTTTATTTTTATGTGAGTCTCTTTGTGCGTATGTGTCTGTGTCTGCGTGTGTGCGTGTGTGTTTCAAGTGAACTTAACACCTGTTTTATCTATTTTCTAAATCCTTTTTTTAGGCACTGATGAGATATCTGTTAAGCGTTCTTCAGCGTCAAGCACACCTTTGGGAGTAGCAAATACTAATACAGTCAATTCATCGTCATTATCATCATCAACAACAACAGCACAGAATAATAAAACACTGAATTCTACTCATTCAACAAGTGAAGATCAACATCATCCTCATCAACAGCAACAACTCATGCTGAATAAATCACCGACAAGAACTCTACATGTTGCTGGTCTTACAGTCGGACCAACTGGACCTGTAACCTCTGAACAATTGACTACAGCATTTCGTAAATTTGGTGATATAATAGTGAGTTTCTTAATTCTATATTGTTTCTGGCGTTGCCATATACACCTACATTGCTTTTGCTTTGCGAGAAGGACATAGAGGTGGGAGGGGGGTTGAAGCAAATTTCAGCTTTGTAAAGTTTCAATATTAAGTAGTGGTGCTTTTAAGGGTTTGTTTGTAGGTACTTAATTTATTTCAAGTTTGGTCACGGATTGATATCAGTTAGAGAAAACCATTGAAAACCAGCACTAGAGTACTGGACAGCCAGCTATTTCGTCCTAGTTTGCGAGTAATCATCGGTACGCCACGATCCACCGAATGATGTTGTCTGGGGTTCTAGTGAGATGTCGTTGCCACCAGTGTGTGTGTGTGGGGGGCTCTATCCAGTCGGGAGTGAAGAAAAATACTCCCTGCCGATGACACTCATTGCCTGGTACCAATCACGCTAAATGCTTGACGAATCGGCAGAAGTTATAATTTGTGAGCTAGCCACTGAGTCGGGTCCCAGTGATGGTCGAATAGTCTACGAGCTCACCTTATAACCGGAAGGATACTGGATTTAAACCCTTCCGGTGGGTGCGTACTGGCGATAAGTTTGAATCTGCGACGAAACAGCTGTTCCTGGTTTTCAGTTGTTCTCTAACTGATATCAAGTATTGATGTTGTTTTCTTTACTGGGTGGTGGTGAGGTTGTGCTAGTCGCACACAACCTCCACCCCCAATAAACCCCCCTCCTCTTTGCTGGACTTACACTAACCAGCTAAGCAAAGGTGCGCGTCGGTCGGGAATCGAACCCGGGCCATATGCATGGTTCGTGAGCATTCTACCAGCGAACGAAGGATGATATACCTTAGGATTGCTATTGCTGTCATCTAACTATTTGTTCGTTTGTTTTTGTCAGCAATTTTCGATTGTATGATTTCTCTATCTATCAGGTAGTGAATGGGAAGATACTATATTTATATTAATTTTGTCATAGCGAATTATGCCAGGAGTTAGAATTTTTAATTGATTTATTGAAATGGCGGTAACATGAGAGTGTGTTCACTATGTAATCAAAGCGTGTTATATTTAATTCAATTTAGATTTTCCCGTCGATTGATTGGACGTAAGTGATCGGTCTCAGGTTGACATGTCGGCTCCTTGTGCAGATGCTTCGACGATGTCTGGTCATGTAACTTGAAGTTAATCGATGTGTGGAATCCAGGATGCGCATTTTGTCCCATTCGGGACTCGTCATCTCGAGAAACTTGCTGTGAATTATTCCAACTTCTACCAATTCGTAATGCATTCAGCGCATCTGGCACCAGCCAATATCTTATTCTTTTTAAAGAGGAAGGAGGGAGGGATTCTTTTAGGGAGAGGTCAATCATTGAATCTTTGTCCGTCGGATCAACCCCAAACACTTGCGAATAGAAACGACACCTCCTACCCTATCCCTGATTTATGGAGGAGAGTATAAAGTGGTTATATAATATGAGCAGTAATAAATTGTGCTCGAAATATGTTATCCAATTACCAATACCATTATACTTACTTACTTTACTTTACTTCGGCTATCTCCTACGGGAGGATGAGCCGGCTTCATGAACATCTCGAATCATCGCTGCCCAGGCGCGGCGATCTGATGCAAGGTTTCGCGACAGGGTTATCCAATTCCTGTTCCACAGACGGAGTCCGTAGACGGTTTGTAACCCCAGGCACTCCATATCAGCCTTGACTGTACCAAGCCATGTTTTCAGCTGTCCACCCCTGCGACATCGCCAAGATGGTAATGGCGAGGGATTTAGAACTGATTTGACCAGATCGTCATCTGGTCGGCGCAGAACATGGCCAAACCACCGAAGGCGACGTTGTTGGACCAGTACTGGAATTTGGTTGATGTTGTAGTGTAACGACAGAAGGCAAGAGTCAGGCAACAGATCATTTATTAAGGAAATCAACGCATATTTATATATGTTTTCATGTACATTACTATGGATATTTAAGCAAACAAACACAGTCTTCCGATTGGTTGTTTCTCACGACTAATCTTGGGGACGTAAATATTGACGTAAATTACTGTCTACCAATTTGGTTAGTAGACAGCTCTCACCACAGTAGCAACGACGACGCACTTATTCGTTGGAGAGTTTGTCCTCCCGTAGCATGGTGAGAGTCGTTTGTAAGAGAGTTCATGAAGTTTCATGGGAATTTGGTACGAGTGATTTCCCCAGAATCGCTCGGCCTTTTGTTTGAGAGTGCAGCTCTAGCCTTTACACAACCAAGTGTGACCTACAAGGCAGTAGGAGTGGAGTAGGGAGTCCACTACCCATTGGCAGCCGGTGAACGGAGTTCGGTTCATACGCCTTTTTGAATGGGGCCAGACATCCAGGAAATCCAACAAGCCCTTTGTCCATACGTCTGCCGGTGAGCTCCAGTGTGAGCTTCATACGCCAGTCGTTGGAGGTTTGGAATCAGGGTTTAGCCATCTCCCCTAGACTGTCGTCCAATGGACAGTCAACCCGGTGAAGAGCGCCGGGCATCCGCTTTCGCCCTCTCACTTTGGTGAAAAACACCTCCGCCACGTGAAGGCAGTGAGTAGGACTTCCTCAGGAGAGGCTATGTAAGACGCCCGGTCATATGGGAGCATTTCAAGAGGTGTGCGGAGGGGTGGCCAACCCGCAGCGCAAAGCACCCACCCCCGACCATCCTGAGGCTTTGGAGGCAATACCATTATATGACTCATTGTGTATTATATCGAATAAAATTGTGTAATATATTGAAGTAGTATTCTGTATTATCTTTCTTTCTAACTATTTGTTTTTCTCTCAATTTTCATATTCACACTATACAGAATGTACAACTCAAACCAAGTTCACATTCAGCTCTTATACAATTTGCTGAAATGCGTGGTCCAATTCGTGCAATGAATGCACATGCACGTGAACCTTTACGTTTAGGTGGTCGTCCACTTTCTCTTGCCTATACACCAAGTACACCGACAACATGTTTATGGGTATCAGATTTACCAGGATCATTAGCGAGTTTATCTCATGATGAATTATTACATACCCTGTCACAAATAGCTCCTGTTCAAGAGGTAAGTATAGATTTCGTTTCATTTCATTTAACTTCATACTATGAAATGATTCGACATTAATTTTTGCGAGGTCTGGAGGAATACCTCCTGTCTGGATGCCCAGACCAAAGTAAGTAGGTGGTTGTCTTAAGGAGGAGGAAGAGGAATAGCCACTCTCTCTAGCCTTTAGCTTCAAGTCTTATCCACAAGTCAGTAGAGCCAGAAGTGTATCCATAGTTGACTGCGGCCACCAAACACAGATCCATACATTCAGATTCTGGAATCAGAATTTTACATCTCTCCTACGTAGGACTTGCATATCCACTAGTCCGGTTCTCATTTGTCCTTTCATTTCTGTGAGGAATACTCCTATCCGCCACTTGAAGGCATGAAATAGATCTTACTTTGTACTGGGAGGCTCTGATCACATAACCGTGGGAAAGCCTTTCGAGGAGAAGAAGTCTGAAGTCTATCCACTCTCACCTGCTTGTGTACACCAAGTCGTTTATGGGGGGTTGGTGGATATACCATGTCCAGTATACTTGAAATGTTGCAATTGGAATGATAATAATAATAATAATGTGTTAATTACGCGAATCTCATTTTCACCTCTAATGAATGGTCTGGTGGTGAACTGTATTGTGAATTTCGACAACAGAAGAACAAGGAAAAGTATGGAAGAAAATCGTTACACTAAATAAAATTTTATCGCAAACATTTTTCGTTTATAGTTAGCTGTCTGACGCCTTCTGTTTTGCTTTTTGTTGCTTTTGGTTGGATGTGATGAACAACAATCATACAATCATGTTTGTTAGTCCAAATCATCATCATCATCGTCATTATCATAACAATAAGAGGCATAATGTGGAAATTTTTTTAACGGGTTGTTCTTAGTGTGTTGTTGCGTTCTTTGAGTGTGTGTATGTATGTGTGTGTGCACGCATGTGCGTATGTGTTTGTATCATATGCCTTGGCAACACACACCAACCACCAAAAAAACACGGTGATGTTTCAATGTGCTACTGCAGTTAGTGCTGTATTATATTATATACTATCCTTGATGTAAAATGCCATTTAGTGGTGGTGTGTGTTGGTGTATTTATGTATGTATTTGTGTGTCTGTATGTGTGCTTGTAGGTGTTGGTGTGCCAAAACCAGAGAAAAACAGTTGTATCTATCTGTTTCTTTCTTTTTCTCTCTCTCCCTCTACCGTCATATGATCGTTTTTTTCCTGTTGCGTGCACCCATCATCACACAAATTGTGAATTGTACATGCTGTAGAATATTACTAGAGTAGTAGTGGTGTTAACAAAACTAATTCTACTTCTGCATTTATGCGCAAATATTGCCTCAGACCAGACACTTGACATTTTTGTCGTTAAACGTACTTTTCATCTTTCTTCTTCTGGTTCTTCTCCTTCTCCTCCTTCTTTGTTGTTGTTGTATTCTTCACAATTTTCACTCGATTCTGATCCCTGTCTCCCCCTCCCTCTCTCTCTCTCCCGTGTGTGATGTGTTGCCTATCGCAGTTGTTGTTGTTGTTTTTGCTGCTGCTGCTGCCATCTCTCTCTCTCTTCCACTCTGTGAAATTCCTTTCTGAATATATCTTTCATTGTTTTGCACTACTCCTGCTGTTGCTGCTGCTGTGTGTGTATGTGCGTGCATGCGTGCGTTTAGGTGTGTTGTTGTTGTTGCCGTTGTTATGCCTACTGTCTGGGTTTTCTTTTACTGTTTAGACCAACCTTTCCATCTTTTCTCTGTTCTTCTTTATCTTGTTTTCATCTAGTTTTGCAGTGTTCTTTCTCTTCTTCTCCTTCTTCTTCGTTATTTTTCATCACCTAGGAATTTTATTTTCTGTGAACAGAGGGGGGGGGGAGAGAGTCTGACTGTGTATTGTAATAAATTACATTTCATCACATATTGTGCTGGTCGTTATCACTTTCTCAACTCCACTAACCACAATCAACTGACTAGCTACCATGAGAGTGTGTGTTTATATATACGGTGCTGCGTTGCCTTTCTTCTGTTTCCTTCATTCCATAGGCATATGTATTTATATGTGTAGACTTGTTTGTAGAAACAGACAGGACATTTTTTTCCCTTGAAAACTGCTGTTTATCCTATGTAGGTAGGGGTTCTCTGACTCACTCGCTCTTGTATTGATTTTTTTGATTGACTTCCAGTGTGTATGAGTGTGTGTGTGTGTGGGTGAACATCGATCTCTAAAGCTAGTGTTAGAGTGTCTGAGATCGGTCGTCGGTCGGTTTTCGACACAGAACTTTGCACATATGAGCGCCAGTTCAAGTCGCCACACCCCCTCCATGTACCACACAAAGCAAGAGAAGAGAGTAGAAGAAATGCATATTAGAGACAGTAAACAGAGGTGTGAGACAAAGGAATAGTAATAACGGAGAACAAAACAGTTTAATTGGAAATCATAAGTCACAAGGAGTGGATGCATCTGCACCAGACATTGAGAACGATTTTGAGCCATGTCACCAATTGTTTCCAACCATTGGTTTTTACCGTCCCGAGGACCCCAACCAGGAAGTCTACATCTTCCTACGTGGCTTAGACTAACTGTTGTAGATTTCATTGACTGGTGCCAAGTTTTGGTTTGACCGCCGCCAGCTCTTTTCCAGTCTGGCCCTATATCAGCTAACATTGCCGATTGTCGAGGAAGGCGATGACTAGGCATACGTAGCACATGTCCTAACCATCTCAGTTGATGTAATTTCACAGTCTCGTCTACTGATTTCCCCGCCTTACCTAGCACTCGACGCCTAACCTCAATATTGCTCACCTTATTATACCACTTCACAAGGGAGATAGAACGCAGACACAGCTAATCTTTCCATGTCTTCTGCTCTCAATGGCCAGGTCTCACAGCTAGTCATAAAGGAGGACGGAGCGGACTGTTGAGCAGTACACACGCCCTTTGGTCGATAGTCGGATGTCACGCCTACGCCAGAGACGGCGTAAACTGGCATATATGAAACTAGCCCTCTGTATTCGTGCTGAGATTTCGTCGGAGGTCAACCCGTTGGGGCTGATGGTACTTCCCAAGTAAGTGAAGTGGTCAACGTGTCTGAGATGGTGACTAGCTAGCAGTAACCATGCGCATTTCGTCCTATTTGGGACTGCTTATTGTCGTCAGCTAGATGTAATTGCAACCCCATTCCCTGACCCCCCTCCACACCGGTGAGTGATGAGTATCGAAGGCGGGGGGCGTATTAGAAGGAGGTTAAAACATTTCTACAAAGATCAAACAGTTTGGTTTCAGTGTATGTAAATATGTAATCGAAAAAAGGAAATTGCTGTTATTGTTGTACGTATCATGGAGAGTTTTCTATAATGTGATATAGGAAACTGTGTGATCACTTTTAGGTTGAGGAGATATGTCCTCTTGCATCAGCTTATTGACTGACTGGTTTCAACATGGAACTTTATTGCATATGACAAATCACAAAGAGTGAATGCATCTGCACCGGACATTGACAACAAGGATTTTCAGCCATATTACCTATAATTCACTCCAGCCGCCATTGGTTCTTACCATCCTGATGACTCCGACCAGTCAGACAGTCAGTCTCCACCTGCCTCCCTATGTAGCTGGCTGACTGACTGGCTTAAACTAACTTCTTCATTGACTGATGAAGCCATGTTTCGGTGTTGACCAGCACGTGCTAGCTCTTTTCCGACCTCATTGATCCTATGTCAGCTAATATTGCCCATTGTCGAGGAAGGAGATGGTTAGGAATGCGTAGTACGTGCCCTAATCATCTCAATCGATGAAGCTGTTTCACAGCCTCGTCGATATCCCCGCCTTCCTTAAGTAGCACTCGACCGGAGCCTAACCTCCATATTTCTCATCCTATTATACCACCTAACAAGGGAGATAGAACGCAGACACACCTATGATCAAGACGGCTAGCCAGCTTCTTCGTGTCTTCCAGTTTCAATGGCCATGTCTCGCTCACAGTCCTAAATGGAGGATGGAGCTAACTGCTGAGCATTTTGGTCGACAATCAACCAGATGTCACGTCTATCAAGCCAGAGATGATGTAAGTTGGCTGAATGATGCCAAACGAGCATTCTGTATCCGTGCTTAGATTTCTTCAGCCCATTATAGTCTGACATTTGGAATGTTGATTGTTGTATGATATTTGGATGTCTGGAGTCTCAGTGCAAAGACTACCGACTAATGCTATTCACTGAAGCGTGTAAGAGTACATCCGGACTGATATATTCCAAAGGCAGAATAAAATGCACATCTTCAATTCCGCTGTGCTGACTGACGGACTGAACGACCTATGTCTTCAATACAGGACTTTGCCATACCACACATAAAGGTAGAGAAAGAAATTTGAAGGAATTATGATGAATTTAGAAGTTCCATAGAGGAGAGAGGTGAATTCATCTGTGTTATTGAGAATAATTTTGAGCCATATATGCCACCAATAGTCTCCAGCTGTTAATTCTTAGCGACTGAGGAACGCCAATTATATAATCTACACCTTTTTACGTGTGTCTGGCTCAAACCAAACAGTCGAGGACTTCATGGATTGATGACACACTTTCATTCGAACATTTAATTTCATGTTACCTTCCCTCATACTCTACTCCTATTATATATGTAAGATGGTGCTATACAGGACTCGACTACATCGACTTTTAGCCTTAAAAAGATGGGGGAATGAAATGGTGACTGAGCAGTGTTGACCACTTCACTTATTTGCGAAGCTGTATCAGCCCCAATGGAATAATTGCTGATTAAATCTCAGTACGGATACAGAAGACTCGTTTGGCATTTGCTAAATTACGTCATCTCTAGCATAGAAGTGATATTCGGTTATCGATCAAAGGACGTGTGTACTCTGCGCGCCAGTTCACAGTATCCTCCTTTATGAGACTGTGAGACATGACCATTGAAAGTGGAAGAAATGAGGCGGCTTAGATGTGTCTTTCATCATATGTGTCTACGTTTTATCTCTCGTGTTTGGTATCCAGGGAAAGTCAATCGATGAGATTGTGAAGCTATATCGATTGAAATGGTTAGGACGTGTGTTACGCATGGTCAGATTAAAATTTGGAATCACAGTCCATGAAATATTTAACAACTAGTTTAAACTAGTCACGTAGGGGAAGTGTAGACTGTCTGTCTGGTTGGGGTCCTCAGGATTTTAAGAACCAATGAAGGCTGGAGACAATTGGTGGTGGTGTAGGTCGAAATCGATGTTAATGGTGTAGATGCACTCACACTCTTTGTGACTTAACATATTCAATACAACTCTACTGTCCTTCCATATAACTATCCTTTTTTCCTCACTCTCTCTCTCTCTCTTTCCAGTCTGTCTTTACTCTCTTCTCTTTCTGTGTGTATGCTACATGGAGGGAGTGTGGCGGTTGGGACTGCTGTGCTGGACATCTGTGCAAAGTTGTATGTTGAAACCAGTCAAACATGAAAGAACAGAAACCGCTTAAATTTTCATATTGTTCCTTAAATTCATTATGGTGACTGTTTACGAGCAGTCTGACTATGATCGTCTGGGATGATGATAGCTAGCTAGCTAGCTTACACTTGCAGCCCTCCTAGACTGTGCCACCATTGTCACTATTATTATTGAAATATCTTTGCTACTATTTTGATAAAGCTAAATGGCTCACCGCCACACGGAGTGTAAATATATCAAAACATACAAATTTTTTTAGGATCAAAATACACTGATAATTATAGTTATTATTATTATTACTTCATTTCAGATCGCTCTTATCAATCGTAATGATCAAAGTTCACGGACTCAATCGACTGGATCGATATCTGCGTCTACATCACCATCACAATCACAATCACAGTCATCAACTCAAACACCACCACATTGTGCTGCTTATATTAAATTAAATTCTACTGAACATGCAATACGTTTATTAAATGAATTACGCTCTGGCAAGTATTCAGTGTTATCATCATCATCCACGTCAACTACAACGGCAACGTCAACGTCAACGACGACAACAACAACTACAACGTCATCTACTGATTCAGATAAAGCGTCAACACGACGTCCTATAGCAGTTGATTTTGCCAGTCCTAGACAATCAAATATTGTTGCTAATTTACAATTGAATGCTTCAAGGTATGTATGTTATTTTGTTACTTGTTGTCGCTATTCTACACGACAATCTTTTTATGGGTGGGTGGGTGGATCGAGGGCGGATGTATTTCATTATAATAAGTAAGAGGAGAGAGAGAAAGTGACTCTGGAGATATATGACTCATTGGCTTAATTGAAGCTGGTGTGTGTCCCTCAAGGTGCTGTTTTCTCTCTCCCCCCGCTTCTTTTTTTATTCTTTTAACACAACTTACCTCCTTCAGAAGAAATCAGCACTTTCTTAAATATGCTGATGATCTGAATTTTTTTGGCTACCAGTTTCTTCCCGATCTGACTGTTCCAAAATTAAACAACCTTCTGTCTGACATTAGCCAGTGGGTCACAGTTAGTTCATCACTTCACCTTCAGACATTAATGATGATGATAATCTACACGAGCTAGTTCGTTCATTATGATGTTTGTAGCCATAGTGTCAAACATTGAATACCTTGAGTACGTACTGATGAAGAGTCCCAAACTAGTCTGACGAAACAGCTGTCTGCCAGTACTCCCTAGTTGGTTTTCCAATGGTTCTCTAACCGATGTCATCTCATGGTGAAATCCTGTAATCAATCAATCAATTCCCTAAAAAAACAATACTTGAAAATACCTTGGAATAGTGTTATAATCCTGTGATCTTTCATGGTCATCCCATATCTTGTTGATTTCTAAGAAAATATTTTGTCGTTTAACCTTCTGCATTAACTATTTTCGTCTATTATTTCTCCCCTTTGGGTTTTCTTAAAAATGACTATGTCATATTGAGGAGAAGGGTACTAAAGGTTGTAGCCGATAGACATCTGAACTCATGCAAGAAATGATCTTAATCCATATTGTCTGAATCTCATCAACACCCTCTCCACCGCCCCGCCCCCCCCCCGCCCCTGCATCTCCTCAGATAGAGGAACCAGAAGTCACTGTAAAAGATTATGTCCTCCCGAAACGTTTAGATCAAATAAATTTACCGCATTCCTAGTAGTTGTCTTTCTGAGGTTGAAAGCGGTCGGTAGATTTCATGCTTATTTGTGGCACTCATCAGCATTTTGGACATCTACACAATAATGTCGACGGAATTGGGTGATATCCTCTCTTTTTGCTTATTTGAACTCACATCTATGATGTTGTTACCGCTACACTGAGCTTCTTGGACTCACGATTGATCGATTGATTGACTTAACTGTATGACTAACTCAATCCCATTAGTAGCTTGTGTCATTGAAATTTACCGGTTATCTATCGTATGATGTAAGAAGAATAAACATTTGGTGGAACTTAGGGTGGTGGCGGTGACACCCTTATGTCACGACTGGTGAAGCTCTGTGTTTCATTTGGAACCTAAGGGACTAATAATAATAGTATATGACTGCTTGCAAACTTTCATCTCTCCATACGAACTCCATTTCACACTTTTGAACTTGACAAGCAGTTGGGTATTAATTCGACAACCTTTCTAACGCCTCATGGTGCCACTTAAAGATCCATCTAGATGTCCTTCTACATATTTGTTCATTGGTTGGTTGGTTGGTTTATGCTGCCAGTTGTTAGAGTTCCTCGTTGCTGTATCCCATTTAGACTGGTCATCTGATTGATCCTATCGTTAGTTGATGAATTGGACGCTGTCTGAACGAAATGCTTCTTCAGCGTGTTCAGTGTACTTAACGTCACCTTCATTTTTTTCTTCATGTAATGTCTATTTCACCCTCGCACTGACAACTAAACTCCTCACTTCTTTCCCAGTCAGCTGGTGGGTTTCATTCGATGACCCGTCTGATGACGTGTTATGTCACTTGACGATCTATTTATCTCTTCTCACGCGTGTGAATATCCAATTCCATCTTGATTGATCTATGCATATTTATCAAGTGTGTGTTGATTTGCAGAAATTTGATTGGATACACAGGTTTGATCATGAGTTGATGTCTGTTAGAGAACCATTGGAAAATATGCGAGCAATGGATAGCTGTTTCGTCGCAGTTTAGGGACTCCTAACTGGTAGAGTGAGAAGTTGTAACCAGTGGGGTCCGCTAATTCTGGTAAGGGAACTATCACTCACCTATGACATTGGCTATTGCTGCATCGGGTCCCAGTGGTTGAGTGTGAGTGGTCAACAAACTTGCCTTGTAACCAGAAGGTCTTAGGTTCAAACCGTCGTGGTAGGTGTGTGGACTGATGAAGAGTCCCGAAGTAGGTCGAAACAATCATCCAGTAATCCTTGGTTTTTGCCGGTCGGTGGCTTACTGCCACATGTCAATGTTTTATGTTGCTTATCCGTTCCGACCGGCCGATCATCTGTTTTTTTGCATATGTAGTGGTATTGATATTCTATTAATAACTGGGTGGTAATGTTCTCATACTTTACCCTCCGTCCTTTTCTTCTCTCTTTTATTTTTAGATCATCACTTAATTCACATCGTGTTAAAATTATCTCCTCCTCCTCCTGTTCCGCCTCCTTCTCTGCTTCAAATTCAATCGATCGATGGGATTCAGCGATGAGTAAATCATCGATCAATAATAGCAATAGTAATAGTAGTAATAATCTACAATTACCTAGTGCATCATTAGCCAGTACAACGCTGACATCGAAATCAATTGATTGCAGTAACAACAGTGTGAATACAAAAGTCTCCTTGTTGTATAGTACCACTATTAATACTACTACTACAACGACAATATCACAGCCAACAATCACCTCTGCATCATCCTTATCTTCTAGTCATACTACTCCTCCTCCTGCTCCTCCTAATCATCAAGATAATCTGTTGAACAGTTCAACGCCGACAACGCCACGAACAACATCGATTAGCAAACAATCCGATGTAGGCGGAGGAGAAGGAGTAGGAGGAGGCAGGATATCTAGTCGTCGTCATAAGTCATCAACACGGTCGAATCATCCTATGCCTTCTCAACCGCAGACTCAGTCAAACAACAATAGTAGTAGTAGCGTGTTGTTATCAAATCGTGTTTCTGCCGCTTCTCCCGCCACTGTCACCGCCACCTCGTATCCTCAACAACTAACAAGAAATTGTTTAAAACGTTCCCATGATAATAATACTAGTCCGTGTAGTAGTTTGAGTACAAGCAGTAGTGTCAGTAGTACAAGTGTGAGTAGTGACGATGATGACGATGACAGTTCGACCAGCAGTAGTAGTACAAGTTCTAGCAGCAGCAGTAGTATCAGTAGCGTTAGCAGTAGCAGTGTCAGTAGTATCAGCAGCAGCAGCAGCAGTAGTGGCAGTAGTGCATCAATATCGTCTAAAAGCGCTTCCTCTCGTCATCGTCGACGACGTCAACATCAACAGAATACCACTACTACTAATAATAATAATAACAATGATAAAACCTTATCAGGAAAAATCAATACCACCAGCAGTAATAACATTAGTAACAGTAATAGCAGTCATAAAATTTCAAAATCTCTTGATTCACATACCACTACAATGACGACGACGGCGACTACAACGCCGACTCCTATGGATGTTGATGATAATAATAATAATAAACGCTTGAATAAGCCTACAGAACGTAATTCCTCCTCCTTATCCACTGGAAAATGTGAAAATCCTATCAAGTTACAACAGAAATCATCTATGCTGCATACAAATAAACTATTGAAAAAAGAAGACAATCGTTCAAAAAAGACTGATTCTTCATCATCATCATCGTTACACTCGTCTTCATCAACTGGAAAGTCAGTTGCTGGTGGTGATTCAAATTCATCCTGGTTAACTGATCCAAACTCGGATTCATCATTTATTCAACAGCAACAGCCCCAACAACACCAACACCAACAACCTTTGAGAGTGATGACAATGAATTCCTCTGTATTATCACCTATACGTAGTTCAACTGCTAGTGGTGGTGGCGGAGGTCTTTCTAGTCCTGGAGGATCGTGTTCTTCTCTGATCGGTAGTAATACCTCCGGCAATAGTAGTATTCGTCGAACCCCTAATAGTAATAATAGTGGTCAATATGAATTCCTTGGTCCATCCACGAATCATCATCATCAGTCATCGTTGAGACTGTCAGCAACAACCACTCCTACGTCCACGCCTACATCTGCTACGATTCCCCAACCAATTATCAACCATACTCCTACTGCTACTACAACACCACCAACAGGTTTAACAATGATGGGAGGAGAGTTTAGAGTGAGTCCGACACCGCCACCACCGGCGACAAGAGTATATTCTGCTAGTGGAGGGAGTAGTGGAGTAAGTAGTGGTGGGCCAAGTTTTAGTAGTACACATAGCAGTGGTGGGGGAGGTGGAAGTACTGGTAGTAGTCCGTTAACAACAACAACCAGCAATCATTCAATAACAAGTCATCATCCTTGTCAGTCGAAATCATCATCATCTAATCAGCCTCAATATCAATTGAAAGTGACTTCATCATCAGCGTCGTCGGCGTCATCGGCGTCCTCGTCATCATCATCATCATCTCCTTCTCTGAGAAGTAAAATAAGTCATCATTATATAGGAGGAATTGATACATCTTCTCATATAAATAATAATAATAATAACAATAATAAATCAACTTCTTATAAAGTACATCTACTACCATCGAATTCTACACTGACATCATCACCGCCAAATTCTATTACAACTACAACGACGACCACTGCTACCACCACCACACCTTTAACAGTTTCCATTAAACTGACTGGTATTCATCGATCCTGTCAATCGAGTAGCAGTAATCTAATCTCACCAGGTAGTCTATCAGAGACTAGTGATGTCAACAGTATTAACAATAATCATTCAGATAAACATGATTCTTTACCGTTGACACCAGTTTCAGCTCCACCACTTGGTACTCGTAGTAGTGGTGGTTGTCGTAGTGGTGGTAAGACATCACGTCATTCATCTTCTTGTTCATCAACTGATCCTAGACGTCATAGTATTGACATTGAACCGACTGGGGGTGGTGGTGGTGGTGGTAGTGGAACAATAACACATAGTGATTGTTTAACAGATTGGTGGAGTAATGAATCCCCTGTGTATGAATCTATGTATGATAAAATAAAACGTCGGACAAACAAGGAGGCTGAAGAACGTCGTCAACGTCAACTTGAAGCCTATGCAGCACGTGAGAAAAAGAATAAAAAACAAAGAAAAAAGGAGGAACAGCAACAACACCAACACCAAATGAATACAACTTCACCAGCATCATCATCTGGTCATCATATAATCCAGATGTCTTCACCAGATTCCCTGAGTAATGAACAACATCACTACAGTGATGGTGGTGGTGGTAGCGGTGGTTGTGGTAAGCTGAATACATATCCGTCGAGTATGGATGGTGGCGGTGTTGGTGGTGGTGGCCATAAATCCTCAGCATCATCATCATCGCATCATTCAACGACTAGTACAAGCTCAAGATGTAAAGTAGACAATAATCGATCCTTGTCAAATAAACGACAGAAGCCTGATACAATGCCTACATCACACTCTTTCCTTGATGACAATAATAATAACAATAACAATACTGTCAATCACTTATCCTCGTCTCAATGGCATTCACATACAACAGATCGATTATGTACTAATCCCAATGAATCTGATTTATATTCACGTCGAATGTCTAGAAATAATACAATGACTACGAATACATCATCAAGTGGAAAACATGATCAGCATCCTCCCCATCGTGATCGAGATCGTCATCACAGTCATCGTCGTCATAATCATCAACATCATCAGCATCAGCATCGGAGACGACGGAGAAGAAGTATTGTCAGTTCATCGTTATCCTCGTCATTGTTATCCACCGATGACGACGTCAACGATAATGATCATGATAATGAGGATGAGGATGATGACGAGTGTGATTCAAACTCTCCACCAGAAACATTGACCCGATTAAGTTTAGGCATGCGATTCCCTGTCTCTGCTACCTATCATGAGTGTATACGACCGACAAAATCTACACCGAATCGTAATCATCATAATAAATGGTCGAATCTAAGCGATGAAGACAATGAGAATCTCAATCATGATAATGATCATAAATACAGTAATAATAATAACCACCACCACCCTCACCTCCACCATGATGACAATGAAGATGACAGATTAAGCCAATTAAGTTCATCTTTATCCTATTCAAGTAACAATGATCATAACGATGACGGCGATGGCGATGTCGATGTTGGCGCTGACAGAAGTAAGCAGCATAATATTGTTCTAAGGCTGAAGAATTCAAACAAACGAAAATCCGATCGTTATCATCATCATCATTCGACAAATAAATTGAATAATAATAATAGTAATAATAATTATAATCAATTGAAAAAGACAAATTACAACAACACAACAACAACAACGGGTTTTAATTCGTCTACACCATACAATCGTAATTGGTGGGAGACAAATGAAAGTAGGAATAATAAACCAATTAATCTGTCATCAATTACATCAGATTGGAAGATGTCAACGACAACAGCAGCAGCAACAACGACAAAGACAGAGAAGAAATCAAAATCTCATCATAACAGCAACAACAACAACAACAAAAAGACGACTACGACGCCTATTGGTGGTGGTGGTGTTAACAACAGCAACAACAACCCCACCAGTAGAACAGGGAAACAACTCTTCAAATCTCTGTCATCAACCACCAATACTAACAATAATAATACTAATAATACTAATGCAGAGAAACGTAAATTATCTTCTGATAAAATCCTATATGATCATAATAATAATAATAATAGTAATCTGTTAAAAAGACGACATAATGACAATTATTCATCATCGAAGTCTGCTACGGATATACATCCGAATAAACGTAAAAAGCTTAGTGTTGTGAATAACAATACTACTACTACTACTGCTAATGATACAACCAAAAGTAGAAACAATGGGAATGATGATATTACTAATACTAACAGTAATAAAATGTACAATTCTACAAATCATAATCGATATTGTTCATCGCCGAAACTCTCGAATCTCCGTAATCATCATCACCATCATCCTTCGCCTCCTGCACATCACAGAAAACGAGAAGGACTTCGACATCGGGAACATCGGCAACAACGTCATCGTCTTCATAGTGCTAAACAACCGTATTTCTCTGATGATGATGACGAAGAGGAGGGGGATGGTACAATTATCGACTCTGAAATTGAAGATGTTAAAGACGCCAACTATTTTATCAATGGTCGTAGTCGTCATAGTCGTCGTACAACAACAACAACTCAAAGATCATCATCAACTTTATTCTTAACATCACTGTCATCATCATCACCTGGTATGCATAGTGAAAATGATCATGAAGAAAGTTTAAATGAATCTCATCTTCTTTATAATTTTAAATCTCATCATTTATTGCATAGTCCAAATTCCAGACGTTATCATCATCCCCACCATCATCAACATCAGCATCATTATCAATCCGATGATTATGCTAGAAAACACAAGAAAACTGATGATGATCTGTTCACTTTGAATGCAATAAGTAATCCTCTTCAATCAAGAGGTCTTGGTGGTGATTCAATGTTGTTTGATGCCTTACTTGATTCAGATCGTCTTTCAGCCAATTCAAAATCGACTATATCAACAGAACCAATGGAACAAGGTGAACTTGATGATGTGGATGACAATGAAGATGTAGATGATGATGTTGACGAAGATGATGATGTAATGATGAATAGTACTAGTCCATGTTTGATGAAATTCAATACTACAACTGACGGTGAAGAGGATGATGACGATGATGATTGGCATTCTGGTTTAGCATCAAGTTCACCGCATCCAGTCCACCTAGAATTTGATGACGATGATGATGATGGCGGCGGCGGTGGTGGCGATGGAGGTGGCTGTCGTAATGAAGTTGGTAAAGATTGTGAACTCCTAGGCGGTGGTGGAGGAAGAGGGGATAATAAAACTGACCTGAAGCATACCTATCATCAGTGTGATTCACCTGTTGGAAAGTTATTATCATCATCATCATCTCATTCTATGATGATAGAATCTTCATCAGATGATAATGATGATGAGGGTGATGTTGAGAAGCCGTCATCTATCATCCATGGTGTAAAGAATCAGCATATTCTATCCTCTTCTTCTTTCTCTTTATGTCTTCATGAAGATGAAAAGAAATTTGACAGTAGTTTCGGTGAATCAGAATGTCAGAATTATAATAATAATAATAACAGTAATAGTAATGCTGTGAAGGTGTGCAATTCACCAATTCAAATGAGTCGACTATCTCCTATCGATAATAAACAACGACAACATCTATTGTTCAATAAACAAGAGTTAGACGATAGGCGAACATCAACGCCTGTCTGTGCTAACGATGATGATGATGAAGAGCTGCCTTCAATGAAAATTGAGTGTAGTAAACAACATCAACAACAACACCATGATAAATCTGGATTGAAGAGCTCTTCTCCTCCGCCTCCTCCCCCACCTCCTTCAATTCAATCACCTATAGTTATCGTCAATACACCCAAAGTGGACAATAGTAATAATAATGACCTACCGCCGACACTTTCGTTACCTTCGGAGACTACTACTACTGCTGCTGCAAGTAGTAGTAGTAGTACTAAGCATGAAGATGTTTCTAAAATTGTTACTGACGATCATCAATCATGGTTGGTTAATGTAGTTGGACAGTTGGGAACAAGTAAATCTTCCACAGATCCTACTACCACTACTACTACTACTGCTAGTTGTAGTATCAGTAGTACAATTCCTGTTTCCTCGTCTTCATCATCATTATCACCATCGCCGAATGTATACACTAATTCTCTTGTTACTACTAGTCGAAGTGGTGATACAATGATGATGCCGACAATGTTAATGAAAACCTCTCCAAAAATTATTGACACTACATCCTTGTCATCATCATCATCGTCTTCTTCATCATATATGATTGTGTCTAATTCATCGATGCTTTCTACTGCCACAAACACAACATCAGCAACAACAACAACACAATCGCATGATTCCACATCGACACCAATGTCAACGTCAACGATGCTTGTTGGTGGTGGTGTTATTCCAAAGCTACTGAATAATAATGCGTCATCATTAATTCTCGATAATAAAACTGTTTGTACTAAACAATCACCTTCAGAGAATAATTCTGTTCATCATCCAATAACTCGTCAGACATCATACTTGAATAATAACACTAATAATCATAGTAATATGAAGTCTATAACGTCTTTGCCGTCATCAACAATGCCATTGAATTCTCAGCCAACTGAAGTGCACGATATTACACGTTATGTACAAAGTGTTATTGAACGTGTTAAAGCTGAACGTGTTGAAGAGAATCAACAAGCTGCAGCGGCGGCTGCTGCGGCTGCCGCAGCAAATTCAGCTCATGGTCATCACCATCATCATCATCATAATCATCATCACCATCATTCAACAACAACAACAACTACGAGTACCGCCACGGCACCTCCTCCTCCTGTGACAGCGTCGTCGTCGTCGTTGTCAACTACATCATTTCCAACTGTCTCTATTAATCACCCTTATCATTATCAACAACAAAATCAAGGCTTAAAAGGCTCCAATGAGACGATCAATACGCTGCCTGGATTGATAACCACCGCCACAACATCACCTCATAATAACAATACTACTAATACTAGTAATAAACGATCATATGGTAATAGTAATAGCGGAGGTGTTGGTGGTGGTGGTAGTGGTCCACAACGTCGTTCACTGTTAGTCACTGCAAGTACATGTTCTCCTGTGAAAAATACCACACCGTCGAATAGATGTAGTAAATCAATCCATCCAAATGCAACACCTATCTCGAGTAATCCCATTACCACTAGTACTAGTAGTAATAGTATTGATGAGTCTGTTATTCACACAACTTGTTGTCCACCAGGCAACACAATGACACTATCTCATTCTACAGTTTCATCATTAGACGTACACTTACCATCTATTCCTGGAGTGAATGCATGTGCACCATTGAATTTACCTGTTAGTCAAGTCAATCCTCCTCCTGCTCCTCCTACTTCTGCTGCTGCTTCTGTGATCCCTACTCCGACCACTACTCATCACCAACAACAACATCAGCGTGTAACAAGACAATCATCTAGTACACTCGATAGTTTATCACAGATATCGTCTAAACGTGCAGTAGATAGTTTAGATTCTACTCCTGTCACAACAACAACTGCAACAGGCAGTCGACGTCAACGACGATCTGAATCAAAAGCAAGTGTACTTCCAGTCACAACATCAATTCCTTCAATGTCAACAACAACAGATCCAATTCATCCATCCTTGATGACAACCAGTACTGCCAACACCTTTTCCTGTACTCCAACATCTACAATTATTACTAAGTCAATGGAATCTAGCCTTCCTAGTCATCATTCTGTACCGATGTCACATAGTGGAATGCTGTTATCTTCTTCAAATGATCATATACAAAAGGTTAAACGAAATAGTACAACCATTAATACTACTTCTACTGCTCCCAATGTTGTCCGTACATCTTCCGTGGATCCGTATGAACCAAATTTTGATGAAGAATCACCAATAGGATTTAATCCAGCACAGTTGCATCCTCATCGAGTAGCCTCGCCTTCATTGTGTCCATCACCGAATTCTGTTCATCATCCTCATCAATTGCGTAAAATAACTCCAAACTCTACGACGACGACAACGACCACAGCAACAACAACACCGACAAATTCACAATCATTTCCTGCCGTTTCTTTATCGATTACTTCATCTCCGTCACCAATCCATCCTTCTACATCATCAATATCATCGTCATCAGGACTTATAATAGTTGATTCTAAACCACTTCGAAATACTGAAACAGTCCCATGCACAACAACAGCTATGACAACACCAACAACTGTTGCTACCACTACTACTACTTCAAAGCCTGATACTGATCCTCCTAATGTTGTTGTAAATATACCATCCACCTGTCATTCAGTGAATACAGTAGATGAAGTGATTAGTGAAGTATGCGCTGGTCATTTTGATGTTCAAAGCTACTTTAAAAATTGGATTTGCACAGCAGCTACCACTACACCCACGACCACCATCACTACTACTGCTGCAGCTGCTGTCGTCCCTCCTCCGCCTACCGTAACTACTCCAGCAGGAATGCCTCAACAACCGAAAGTTACTGTCAACACTGTCCAACTACAAGAATGTCTAAATGCGCCTATCACTACTGTATCGAATGTTTCAACGTGTCCTGCAGTCAGTAGTACGACTACTATTAGTACTATTACTAGTAGTAGTAATAGTAGTACTCCTACAGTTACAACAACCAGTTTACCATTACAATCTACCACTAATCCAGCCATAGTAACCAATATAACCACCGGTACACCGACAGGAGGAATACCATTCTCACTGCCAATTACAAGTGAACCGATTGTTGCTGCTGTCACAATACCAACTGGAAAGACGAGTAATTTAGGAAAGAATGATTCAAATAATGGTATAAATATTGGGACTGGAAGTGCAGTGTTAAACACTCTACTGGCTGCTCTTCAACTTATTCCAGGCAGTCAGGTAACAGTGACTGGACCAGCAGCAGCAGCTGGAGTTGTTGGGAATAATAATTCACGCACAATATCCGCAGCGACTATTACTCTACCTGTGAATGCAGCACAACAAGCAGCTGCTAATATAAAGGTGAGTGTTTGTTTGATATTTGAATTTTTTACTATTATTTCTGGATTATTTATTCCTCTTCTCTCCACTCTAAGTCTGAAGTCATCTGAATTGTGATGACAATCAAGGGTATCTGTGAGGGATGCTCACTATCCTCATTTTCTGTTGAATTTCATTGTAGATGTACTAATGGGACTGTCTTTAGTAACTTTGGGATTGCTGACTTGTTGCTCGGGGAACAATTTTATCGACTTGGAGTATGCGGATAATATTGTCCTTTCTAGGCAAAGACTCTGGTAAGATACAGAGTATCCTGAACACCTTGAGCAGAAATTTTTTTGTTTGGCATCTGATTCACTTGCTCCTGTCAATATGTAAGATGACGCTGCAGGACTGGTCTGTACCGATGTCTAGCTTAAAGATAGGGTGCGTGTTGCCCGCTTCCGCCCAAATGGACTGATTGCTGACGAAATCTCAGCACAAATGCAAAAGACTCGTGTAGCATTCGCCGACTTACGTCATCTCTGGTGTAGAAGTGATATCCGACTGGCTATCGATCAAAAGACCTATGCAAAGTTCTGTGCTGAGACTCAGCCAATGGATCAGTCTGAATTATTTATTGATGCATTTATTCACGAAATATTGCTTGATATTAGGGAATATGTATTTTAACCACTGTGCGTCGGTGGCACAGTGGTTAGGACTCTCGCCGACCATACACATGGTCCGGGGTTCGATTCCCTGCCGATGCACACCCGATATCTATGGTCGGCCTGTAAAATTTGGGCTACCGATATCCATGCTGAAAATTCCATACTTGTACTGAAAATACGGTGTGACATCAAGCTATAATCAAAATAATAATAAATAATGATTCATACCTGTGTTTCTCACTTGTATTCAGTATCACTTTAGATTGTCGGTGGATTTCGCTGGTATAGAAGGCCTTATTTCACCATATGACAACGATTCTATTTGTGACTATATTCAAATAGATATGGATCTGTGTATGTGTGTGACTCAATGTTTTAAGAGCTTAACTTCCAACTACACCAGGTCACGGGTCAAACTCCTCCTTATCTACCGACGTCTGGGTAACCAGGGTTACCTGAAACAGAAGAATTAATGTTACATGAACGCCAGAGTTTAAGCGGGGTGTGACTGTTTGAAATCGACCTTATACATAGGCTATTCGAATTAGTTAGTTTTTGAAGTTTTCTCCTTTTTAAGACCTTACCTTCCCGGGGCCACAAGCCGCTGCAAGTTAAGTCGGGATGTATGATTTTCGGGGTCGACCTTTTCGTAATCCTTCTGTTCAGAGAGGAGAAGCAGTATAGCTGGCTTGCTAGTTAGCTGAGGGAAACACCTTACTGATGTTGCTTGCCTATTTGCCAGCGATACAACATCGCCTCCAGACACTCGCACTAACACAGTGTGAGCGGTGACTGACGCTATGTGATGATGGTAACTGCTTCTAGTTTAACCGTGCCAACCACGAGACGATCTTTCTGGCATAGTAGTGGACCACCTGTGGGGAAAGATTTGTTCCGGTCAGTGTATTATACTGTTTTAGGTCATTAAGATATGGAAAATCCGACCACACACCACGTCGAGGTAGGTAGGTAGGTAGGTAAGTAGCAGCTATCTGTCGGTTGGGATATGTAAATCCTTCAAGTGAGATTGTTGAGTAGTAGTAACGTTGTATGCGTCGTCACACACACACACACACACACACATTGTGTTGTACCACTAGAGTTGTAAGTTATATAATCTTCTCTCTCTCTTTTGTTAATACTTCTAGGCTGCTGTTCTATCCGTTACAAATCCCAACAATCAAGGCAAAACACCCAATCTGAACTGGAATCAACAAGAGTCATCATTGTCATCATCAGCGACATCAGCAGCAGTTGTTAATAAAAATCAAAATGAACAACAAGTTAATACTATGATGCATAAAGTGTTTAATCCAAATGTTTCTACACCCTCTAATAATAATAGCAATAATAATAATAATATCCAGTCTAATGTTGTTATGCATAATCGTTTGAATACGCCGACACAACAATTAAATCCATCATCACAGGTTATTGTGTCAACAGGTTCAGGTCAATCATTACCATTTCTTACACAACATGCTCAAATGAATACTCCTCCTGCTCCTCCTCCTAATCTAACTCATCAATATCCTAAGTCATTACAATCGAATGACTCTGTTGTCTCTAGCACAGCAACAACATCATCATCCTCTGCACCTCCACTTTATCAATTACAAATGGCTATGGAGTCAGCATCGAATCGACCACCGCATCTTACATCATCATGTGAACAAAAACCACAACCACCACCACCAACACAACAACAACAACAGATGATTACTCCACCTGTGTTCACATCATCCTCATCATCATTATCATCGGGAAAGTATTCAAATATCCAAATGACTCATGCATCCAATCCACATGTCTCATTAGTCTCTCACTCACAACAACAACAACAACAGCCGCAAAATAACCCATCCACCATGGTAAGACAGTCATTCACTCCTGTGGCTGCTACTGCCAACACTATCCCACCTTCATCACCAACAGTAATAAACGGCAGCCATCCTCTGCATCATCATCCTCCTCCTCCTCCTTCTCCTCTTGTTAATCAAATGACATCAAGGAATTTATCAAATGCTGCTGTACCACCACCGCCATCATCACCAATGATTCCAGGCGGTGGTGGTGGTGTTGGTGGTTGTCGTAATCCTTCGTCAACTATTCCACCGCTGACAAATAATCCAGTCTTACAGACATTAATCGATCGATTGGGTGGGAATGTAGAACCTTCAGTAGCTATGGCTTTATTCCATGCTGCACTCAACGGGGGGAATGCTACTACTAATACTAATACCACTAATAATAGTAGTAACAACAATAATAGCGGTAATCTACGCCGAAATCTTAATGATAATTCATCAACTGATACACAAGTTAATCCTTATCTAAGACATGTAGCTCAACAGCTTTTAGATAATCGAGTGTGCAATGGTAATGTTAAGCCAACAATCCCGATTAGTAGCAGTGGTAGTCATTCGGATACCTCACAAATGCATACGAAAAGTTTATCTCCATCAGTTCAACATATTCCTGTGAATAATAATAATAATACTAACCATAGTAATAATACTAATCCTAATAATTATGCTTCAAGTCCTCATCTTCATCGACCTGCATCTGCCGCTGCTGTCCAACAACAACAACAACAACACCAGCAACAGCAACAACAACAAATGCCTTTTATTGCTCCAGTTAGAATTACTCCTGTAGACACTGAAATGATGAATTCATTGGATCACACGTCGAATACAATAATATCACCACCAGTTGTTCAAACACGTCTACCCGTTGTATCTGAACCACCTTCAGGGAATAACAATCATAGTAGTAGTAATAATAATAATAATAGTAATAACAATAATAACGGTAATACTAATAATAACAACAACAATAACACTGCTTCAGATATGCAATCATGGAATTCACTAGGATCGGTAAGTTTGGCTTTATCTTTTGACTTGGATTGAATTTGTCTTTGTTTTTTTGTTGAATGACAATTTGCCTATCGACCAAATTCTAGACGTAAAATTGTGTACAAGGAGAATATCATGAGAAAACATATATAAAAGGACTTAATAAAGAGAGAATGCTTTTGACGAGTAGTAGTCATACACCACCAATAGTCTTATTTAGTTATTTCATATTGATTCTTAGTGTTTCGAGAACCTCAACTAAGCGTAGCATACATTTCTCTCTCTCTCTCTGTTAACATGTCTGGCTCTCAAATCATCAATCAAGAAACTTCATAGATTGATGTGATGCTAGGTTTTAGTCTAACGTCTGCTATCCCCATTGATCTTATGTCACCTAGCATTACTCGACAAGTAAAAGTGGTATCTCAGCATGCTAGATATGTGTCGTGCTAGCCATCTTTTAATGGTTGGTATTAGATGGTTGGAGGCAATTGGCCATAAGAAGCCTTCCCTGAACTAGGTTTCGTGCTAGTTGGCACTCACATCAGTCAGCAAGGCGTATCTGCAACATAGAAGGAGCTCATATCCCAGTGAGTGCTGCAGTCAGAGATGTTACCACTGAGCTATTCTGGCTGACTCGCGACTGACCACCTGTAGAACTGTATTGGATCCAATCAAAAACGTCCTTTAATGGATTTAGCTTCATCGGTTGCCTTGGCCTGATTATCCAAAATTACACTTAACCCCAGTAATTGTTATTATTTCAAGTTTGCCCACAGATTGATATCAGTTAGAGAGAACTATTGAATACCATGTAGAGATTTGGGACCCATCGGGTAGTATGCACCCGCCGCCAGGGTTCGAACCCCTCAAGCACCTTCCAGTTACAAACAAGGCAAGCTCGTAGACCATTCAGCCACTAGGACCCAACCCATTTTTATATATTTATTCTATTCCTCTGGGTTACTAGTGGAACATACAGGGCTTCAAACTAGAGCTTTGAAGTTTCAGTAGCAGTACTGCGATTTTTACGAGGTGGTGTTACTAACCTCGTGCCCAATCTTCCCCTCCTACTGGGTTTACTACCGGTTTACCGAGGGTTAGGTATACATCGGCCCGTATTTAAACTCCGGACCACGTGCGTGGTTGCCTATTATGCCTACTCCTGAATCACTGACGCCGGGACCCAATTCAATAGCCTATGAATTCTAATTTCTACCAATTTGTGATTAATATTCACCATATTACTTCACCTTAATACGGGAAAGTTTACCCGTTACATCGAAAATTGACTCAAAATAATCATCAGTGGACAACAGTGTGAAGAGTAATCGATTTTTTGTATTGATTGTATTCAGATGAAAAAATGTAGGGAAGCGTCCCTTACACAAGCAAAAAGGGCTGATATTAATTCTAAGTATCTTTAAATATTCATTACCGTGCAGAGTGTGCCAGGACAAAGGATTTTAAGTGTTTCCCTGTGACTTTTAAAAGCGTGTTACTAAAATGCATTGGTTAGGGGAACTTGCTCTCTGAATTATTTTTAGACAAAACTTTGCACAAAAATGCGTGCAGTAGTATTTGCATGTTGCTACAATATAAAGAAAAGATAACACTTGGAAGAAAATATGGTGATTTAGTGACTGACTGACTGACTGACTACACAATGAGGGCTTATTTGGAGATCTAGTGAGAGATGTCATCGTCCCGAGTGGAATGCACCAATGTTGACATTGGCTAGTGTTGGCGCTACATACATAAATCACAAATTGGCAGAGTTAAAAATTCTTGAGGGTTACTGGTTTTCGTCTCATTGTCAAAGGGGCTCGCCTTGTAACTTGAAGTTCTTGGGTACTGATCCCCCGGTGGGCTTTTATGGGGGAGTTGGCGTACTACTTACTGGAAAGCACTAAACTAGGATGAAACAGCTGTTCATTACTCCTTGTCGGTTTTCCAACAAGGTTGATGTCAAGTTTTGGTTTGTCTCACCCATCACAAACTCTTTTCCAACCGCAAATCGTTTTGTTGTTTACATTTTTTTCCTACAATTTTTGAGGAACTTTTGTTTATACTGTTGTTTTGTTTTTCTCTTGTTTCCTTTCCCTCCTCCCCCCGCTTAGTCTTATCCTCTTGTATGGCAAGGTCGTCTATCGTTGAAAAATATGGAAACTCGTGTTGCTCTGCATTTTGTACAAGGCAATCATAATCTCCTTAACGCGTGTATGACACTTCTAGCATCAGGTGGTGGTGGACAACCACAATTCTCACTGATCACAAGTGGTGGCCCCCTGAGAATTGTTCAACGGATGCGTTTAGAACCTGCACAACTTGAAGGTGTACAACGGAAACTGAATCAAGAGGGTGCTTCATGCGCATGCTTAGCTCTGCCTGCTGGTAGCAGTCCTGTTGAATTGGCACAACAAACACAAATATTGAATGAAAATTTTATACGCTATATGCAAGAGAAAATGGCGGCTGGAATCATTAATGTTGGTCATCCTGATTATCAACAGGTGAGTGTACAAATTTTTATTCTATTTTATCCCTTTACGTTCCCAGGGGAACATAACGACTTCAAGATATAGGGCTTTGAAGTTTCGGTAACTATGGTTGCTAGCCCCACACCCCGGCCTCTCTCTTTAACGGCCTTACTGCCACTGGGGATCTAACCCCCGTGGCCACGTGTGGCGTTTCGCCACTAAACCACCAACACCAGTGTACAGAATTATGCCCTAATTATTCTTTGTTATGCTTATGGAGTTCCTTTGTTTCCTCTGGTCGTTCGCCTGTCTCTCACATTGTCTTAATTAGTTGTGTAACTCGTAAATTGAATGTGACGTCTACTTTGGTATATCCTAATAGAAGGATTCACAACTGCTTATGTGTGTGTGTTTGTACTCGTTGCTGAACAGTCTGTTCCGCCTGAAACAAGATTTTCAACATTCATCTGTGTAATGTGATAGCAATGAAAAACTTAGTACGGTTTTTTCTTAAATTAAACGAGAAACTTGGTACATGTCATGGGTTTGTACAAGGGTCAGAGTCCTTCCTGAACGTCCAGAATGAAGCAAAAAGGGCCTCCACCTCCTTCCCGAGCTTTCGATTTGATATATGACCCACAAGGCGATCAAACAGAGTTCTAATGGGATGGCAGACGGTGACCAATATAGGTTCATACGTCATTCGACTCATCCAGATTCTGAAGCCCGTGTACACCACATAGGTTTGGAATCAGAGTTTTCAGGACTCCTAGATATGGACCAGCATGTCCACCACCATTTCACTTCGTTTGTAAGCGTCAGATGTTCGCATTCTCTGCCGCTTGAACGTAACGATTAAGGCGCATACTCGACAGAGGCTAAGAAAGCGTGGCCACAACATTAGAGCATTTCGAGAGGAATACTGAAGTCGTCTACCTTCCGTTGACCTTACCAGATTGTTTATGAGTCTCTTAATGCGGTTTGACTCCTTTCTAACCAGTTGCCCTCTATACCAGCAATAATTTTTCAACTCAAAAGCTTATTGAATAACTTCACCTTAGGCAACAACCTATTCCTCTCCTTGGAATTCACTGTGATTAGGATTCACAAGAGGTAAGTTTAGTTAGGAAGCAGTTGATGCGGGTGCATTTCGTCCTGTTTTAGCATTTGTAAAAGCTGGATATGCCTACGTTCCCAATGTAGTGGAATGATAGGGGCAGGTTTTTTGGTCTAAATGTGACAACACAATATTAAATTTCGGATTCCACTGCTAGTCATAAAATGAACGATTTTCATTCCTGCCAGATAGATATTTTCGTAAAAATACACAATTCCGAATTTTTATAATTTTCTCTAGTGTATAATGTTAACAAACTTTTGGCCAGTTTTTCATCCTCTCTGTCTCAAATGAATTCCCAATTCTCTCATTCTCGCATAGAATGAATATTTAATCAAAGTCTAAGCTGTATTTTTTTTATTCGCCTGAAATCTAATCAAATTGTAGAATAGAAAATTAGAAAAAAAATCTGTCCTCTCATCAACATCATCATCATTCTTATCGATTTATTTTTGTAAAGGCACATGATGATGGTCTGTTTTTAGGTGGTAGGTAGAGGTAGACCTGTCTACAAAGTAGTATTTATTATTATTATCTCTATTCATATCTCTTCAATTCAAATAACCTTTGCCCATTTTCTTATTTAAAAATCTGCCCCGGACTGCTAATCGATCGATATTTTGCTAACCAGTTTATATATATAGCTAGTGTATTTATGTCAGTTTTTTCTTGGACCAGTTGTATCGATCATCGTTAAAATGAATGGCATTTGTAGTCTGACCTTTAATGTACTTCATTCCTATTGGTTGTTCTTTTTTCATTTTACTAGGGCTGGTCCAATTTTTCTATCCTCTAAATATACTGAATATACTGGTGTCTAAATTTTTCTATTTTCTATTAGCTTTGTTTTCTCTGTTCGCTTATTGGCTAATATTCTACCATACTACTATATCTAGTTGGAATTTGTTTATAGACCCTGCTGAGAGAGCGGATGAATAGATTATTTTGGTTACCCTTCCTTTTTCAAGGTGTCTTGTGTGGGTGTAGATGTCTAACGTGTATCTTTCTCTCCCTCTCTCTTTCTAGACTATTATTGATTTATCTCACAGTCTATTTTATAGTTAGTTCTGGGCGTTATTATGGTAAACCTATTTACGTTTTTCCTGCCTTCCTCCTGCTGCTGTCGATAAAATGTCGTAAAATTTATTTCTTTGGAAAACTATCAGCTAAGATCCAACACCACTGTTTTAACATCGACTTGATTTCCAGGCACGACTATACTGTCGTATTTTCTATTACGGAGAAGGTATTAAATGGCACTAGAAATCGGCCAGGCCAATACTGGCCAAAGTTGTTTGAAGCTGTATAGTGGGAAATCGTGACCAGTAGGGTCACTCCACCTGCTCGGGAATGAGGACAAATACTACTCGATGATATTGGCTGGTGCTCACAGTAAAATCACTTATTGATAGAAGTTAGGATTCATTGGCCCAGCGATTAGATCGCGACCCAGCCCCTGAATGATCTATGAGCTTGACTTATAGCCAGAGGCATCTGGGTTGATTCTTCGGCAGGTGAGTACTGTAGAAGAGTCTCTGGTGGTTATTGGCGGCCTTATTAATACTTGGCCTACCGAAAACTCCCATGAGTATATGGCATACAGTTTCTCTTACTCAATTTGCTTAGATCTTATTAAATATGACCTCCGATAGTGTTGTTTATTCTGGCGAGAATTTGAAAAACGTTTACAACCTTCTGATTCACCACAAGTTCCTACTAAACATGAAGAAAGGCGTTATCCTCGATGGATGGCACGTCATCCCAATACATGAGATGGACTATTCCTAAGTGATGTCATTGGTTCATAAGATAGACTCCTGAACTTTTTGTGACTGGCATTCAGCGAAATGTCGTCGTGTGCATCTCGAAGGAGAAAAAGAAGAGATATCACAATGATGGATTGGTTTTCGCTTCCAGTCAGATGAAACTGAGTCACACGGTCCACTGTCAGTCAATTAATCTTTTATTTGAAGTTTCTGGACGAAGGGAGAATGATATTATGCGATAAACTCTGCTGAAAGCTAGGTACAATTTATAAATATCGTTCAGAATAAGTCTGTTATTAACTCTTGAGAATTAAAAACAGGTAATGACTGGTAGCTGTTGCACACTACAGGTGGTTTTCGTGGCCCCAGTGGTCTGTTGGATGGATAACACTTTGACGTTTGAGTGTCAGTGGGAATAGCATCAGGTGGATCTAACTGACGAGTGTCAAATAGGACGAATTCCGCACTCTGGGAGGAATCTACTACGAGTTATGCCCATCTATGAAACTACTTCAAAGTAAAGTTGTTTTTCTTCCTTCTATCTCTACCACTTATATCATTACGTATTTTGTATTTTGTGGAGAGAAGTAACCAAATAATTTATAGACGTGTTTTTATTGAATTAACTAACACTTTTCTCTGTTTATGCTTGTTTCTTTATATTATAGGGTTTGTATGTAGTGCATATCTTTCCACCGTGTGAATTTTCGCATGCTCATCTCAGTCTTGTTGCACCAGATTTACACCGATGTGTTGTACAAGCGAATCAATCTCATTTATTGGTTGTCATAACAACAGTGTAAAATGAATGCATGAGAACGAAGGGTTGGCTGACGGGTCATACACAATTCAACAGCTCAACATGTTGGTGGTGGTGGTGATATTGTACATATATATTTGATTGGAAGTCTCAGGTAAGCATTCTTTATACCACATGATTTGTTATGAAGTAATCGGGGTTCTCTTCACTCTAGTGTCAATAATGTGGCTTCATTGTGAAGAGATCATTTACTTCCTGTGGAAGTGGTTAACTGGTACACTCTAGAAACTACCTATAAATGGAATAATATGTGGACTTTGGATGGAGTTATTTGCGAAATCAATAATGAACACATTTTGTTAGATATCATCACTTGTGTTGGAGGTGATCAGAAGGGAACTCTGAACCTAGGTTTCGTTCTTGATGTCACTCACACTCGTCAGTAAGGTGTAGTATCTGCAGTCTCCCCTCCCCCTGAGATTCAAACCGGTGTCATTGAGCTATTTTGGCTCGTGAATACTCTGATTTAACTGAAACTAGTTCATAACTAGTATCATGCCGTCTAGTCCTTTATTTGGCACAGGCCAAATTTTTCGGTACCCCATCCCCCCGCCGCCTGTACCTATCGTTTTAAACATCAAATCACTATCCACTGGACTACTGTGATCAAATCAAGTTAGATCACATTACTATTATTAAAAACCTGCCTACAGTACTGGGAATTCTCAACAGAGTAATTGACCAAGTATGACCGCATATTATTTATTTTGATAAATAGTAGTTATTTTTAGCGTCTTGTTAAAGTGTCTATACTGAGTAACATTTTCTTTTCTGCTTTTTCTCTCTCTCGTTTTGTCAGTTTTGTCAGTCGCTGAATCTGTCTCCACCGGTGAGGCGCTTGCACACGCGCTTGATGCATAATCCTCTCTGATGATGGTGATGATAATGAAGAAATCGACTATTTATTTTATTGCTGGCTGCTAATAAGGAGAACAATCGTATGGTGATGATGATGATGATGATAATGACGAAATCTGTGTACGCCTACCACAATACTATTTAATAGGCAGCAAAATCAAAATCTTCTCTTCCGTTCCTTCTTTATTTAGTGTTTGTGTTTGTGTTGAGTTGTCTTCATAGGAGAACTTTCCCCCCCGCCCCCCACACCCAGCTATATTTAATGTCTCGCATTGTTCAAGCTGACTGTACTCACTCACTTACAATCCGTCTGCGCATCACACTTCTTCCTCTTTGCCTATTTATTATTCCTCATCATTCTATACAGAAAATATTCAGGGTAAAATTCATATTTCTTCAATCTTCTCTCTCAATCGCTCGTCTCAAATGTCGATTTTTATTTTAGCCAATTTTGATTATTGAAATACTTCAACGTGTGTGTGTGTGTGTGATGAATATGCCCTGCACGCACACTCACATTAAGACACACACGCCCACACACACATCTGGCGCCTTGATTCCCTTTGTGCAATAAGTACTTTATCTCTCTCTATCTCTCTGCATATATCTGCATTGATTACTCTCCTCTTGTGTGTGTGTGTGTGTGTTTGTGTGCGTGCGAGCGTATTTTCTAATCCCAAAAATATCCCGGTGGTCTTGTGTTGTTTGTTGCTAACCTTTTCTCTATCTCTCTCTCCCTTTCTCTCGCGCTCTTATTCCACCCCCCGTCGGCATTCTTGAGTTGTCTTTTTATATTCTCTTGTGATTATTGTTGTTCCTGTCTTATTTTTGGTCACTACTTTCTTGTCGTCAGTGTTATCCTGATATTCCTTCTTTTCTTCACTTAAACATGAATGTGTAGTTTGTGAATGTGTAGACGTGTGTATGTGCGTTGTGCATATTGATGGAGTGCTGCTTACTTCTTTCTATTTCTGCGATGACACTATCTCTTGTGAGTATATGACGCTTACTGTATTATATAGAGTTCTTATCTCTTCAATTTGCTTTGCTCTCCCATATAATAATAGAAGTGATAATTTATTGTACTACACACTAACTGCAAATACTATTAACACCATCATCCTAAGAACAACTGCTACTTCTGCTGCTATTCAACAACTACTGTCGCCGCTGTTGCAACGTCTAGTACTACTACTACTACTCCTACTGCTACGCCTGCTAGTACTTGTCTGGATAACAAAACAAAATACCCCCATCGATCCCTATACTGATTGATCCAGCTTATTGTCTTGCTATGCTGTGCTGTGCTGATTGATATTCATTCACATTGCTACATCATTGCTATCAAATTTGATTTTAAACAACAAACTGAAGAGGAGATCCTGCCTTTGTTGTTGATTTTGATGTCGGTGTTGGTGTTGGTGATACAGAAGAAGAGGAAAGAAGCATAGAACGTGAGAAAAATCTTCAAACTACCACTTCTATTACTTCTGAATGCAGGTGTCGTTTCTGTGTGTGTACAGCTGTGAAAAAATCTTTTGATTTAACATACATATATACCTATTTCTCTCTCTCTCGCCCTCTCTCTCTCTATTCGTCAGTCGTTTACTCTGTGCTATTCTTCCGTTCTTTACTATTTGAATCAAAGAGAACACCGTTTTCCCCTCTTTCTCCCTCTGTCTCTCTCTCTATATATATATACACATACATTCTCTACACACCTGTGTGTAAGTAATGTCATATTTGCATATAGAACACATTACAGGAGCCGATGTGTGTGTGTGTGTGATAACTTACTTCTTCAGAAGAAAGTACAGTATATATATATATACTATATAGTATTCCTGTAAAATATAATTACATATATGATTTATTGATTGATTCATGGCACACACACACCCTTACCCTCCGCACAGACACCGTTCTCTCTCTCCCTGTCTCTTTGTGAGAACGCCTTGTACACACAAAAACACTTAATCATCACACTCATCTTCATTGATCGATTTGAAAACTATCCACCACCACACACAAGGAGGGGGGAGGGTCGGGAAGGGGAAGTGAATCGATTTTTTCTCTCGTGTTTGTTTCACAACAATTATTTGTATTGTAGAGTTTCTTCTTTTGTGTGCAGTTGATTGGAGTTGCTTTCTTTTCTCTCTCTCTCTCTCTTTCTCCTAATTTGAATTTCTATACAATCGACTAAACAGTACAGCAATGATAGATAAATGAGTTTTTTCCCCATTTTATATACACATATATATCGATCGATCTCATTCTTTCTCATATTGTTATTATTATTATTGTTTATTATTATTATTATCGTTATCGTTATTATGATCTCCTTGTCCTTCTATCTTTCCTCCTTCCAGTCCTGCTGTTCGTATATGATGATGTATAAGTGTATGTATGTATTGTGTGAGAGTGTACACCTGTTGTCCCGTTGAGTTTTCTTCAGTCTATCTATCTATGTATCTATCTATCTGTCTATCTACACAAGGCATACAAGTATATATCCATCATATGTATGGTATATATATAGTCTCATTTTGCCTACTAATCACTATTACTACTACTCTTACGTCTGTCTCCCTTCTAGCCTGCCTCTCCTCTCTTTCACTTCTGCGTTTTGTACTACACTCATCCACTTATCAGATTATTATTATTATTATTGTTATTGTTATTATTATTATTATTATCGTTATTATTATTATGTGACATGGAATGAAATTGAACGATATATTCAAATTTCTTATATATATTATGGTTACTATTACTATGATTAGTATTATTACTATTGTTACTATTGCAACCATTACTACAATTACTATTATTATTAATTCTATTGCTAGCTATTATCACACACACACACCATCACTATCGTTATTATTATTTTTTTGTCTCTCTGTATCTATCTATCTAAATTTTCCCCTTTTTGGTTAAATGATTCAGTACACATATATATATATATATATACATACGTACATATATATATATTTGTGTGTGTGTGTGTGCGCGTAAGCAAATGCTGCAAGAGCATACACTACACACACATACACATACAGATAGACAGACAGACACTCACACTCACGTATGCACGTGTTTGTATTTGTATAAAATTACATTATCAATTTCGACTTGTTTTGTCTTCTTCTTCTTCCGATGTTCGTCTGAGACATACGCACACACGGCGGTCAGCAGGGGAGTTGTTGTTGTTGTTGTCTCTGTCGTAGACTGTTCGACAATCATGTAAGTACACGTGGTGTGTTCCCTTTCGATTCCCAACTGACACACACACACACGAACTCTTAAACCACCTTGCTTAGTCTGTTATTAATAAGTTCCGGTAGAAAGAGGTGGTTGGACGTTAGACTAATTAACTAACTAACTAACGACACCGTGGCTGCTGGAACACTTCAAACGTTTGTGTTCCACTCGGGATGCAAACTAAAGTTAGGATTCATGGAACCGCTGAATGAATTCCGGTTCCAAGAGGTTGCTGAAAAAATGGTCGTCTTCAGATTTGGCCTCACAGGTCCCATCCCTTGTTGGAGTTATGTGTGCGTACTGGTGAAGAGTGGGAAACTAGGAGGAAACAGCTCTTCAGTATTTCTTGGTTGCATATCAGTCCGTTGATGAGACTTGAAACGCACGTGTGTATCCGATATGGATTTCTCGATATAATCAACAATTAAGGCTCGTCTTCGTCAAGTAATTTAAGTTTTTTAATGATTGCTATGTTACAAATGCGGAATAGTATTCCTTTTTATTCGTGATTAATCATCGTTGTTATAGTGTTTATCCACAGTGGTTACCGTAGTCAAAATTGTCAGTTTTATTCTCGTTATAAGTATTATCATCATTATTATTTCCTTTAGTTCCTAGAGGTACATAGGTCTATAGCCAAACGTCTCCATTGCGTTCAGATCTCCGCCAACGTTTTCACATGGCTCCACATCTCCCCATATGCTTTCATCCCCTCTTCACATCACCTCCTCCATGTCACCTCACCCTAGAACTGCCGACCAACTAACTCACCGCTTCCCATTCAGTCGGGTTCCACTCGAGTAATGGCCTAGCATGTGATGTCACTTGACGATGGTTTGTTTTCTCAGAGAATGGCCAATTCAATCCACCTCCATTTCTTCCTGCATATTTGTTGCACAATCGGTTCCTGCTGGGTTAGGTTGTTTCGTTCATTGCCAGAGATCTCTTCCTGTTGCTGATCTTTTCTGGCTGGCCATATGATCTTGAGCGAAGACAACTGTTGATGAAGGTGTGTAGTTTGTTTGAAGTACCTTTAGTGACGCGCCAAGTCTCTGATCCATAAAGGAGCACTGACTTCACATTGGAGTTGAGAATCCGAATCTTATTTTCATTTTCATGCCGAGAGCTGAGTGCTGTTGATCCCCTCCACACAGACTTGGTGAGAGTAATGAAAGCTTTGCTTGATTTCCCGATGCTCGTTGCTTTGATATCCTCATCAGTTCCGTCCGCTTGTAGTTGAAACGACGATGCTTCTCAGATAGGTAGGTAGGTAGGTAGGTAAAGGAGGCTGTTTCTTTCAGATTTCTTCCATTACATATGGAAACTGAATTTTGACTGTCGGGTGATAACCGTTGAGTTGATGGGTATTTAGTCGCGTGCGCGTTTGTGTGTGTGATTTGCCATTTTAACGTTAAGAGACCAGATCAGTAAATATTGTGCGTTTAAAAAAAATAAGTATACCTTTAGAAGGTAGCGTTAACTCAGACTTATTCATTCTGTCGAAGTAAAAGGAGACACAGAAAGAGAGAGTTCACAATTTTCAAACAAAGGTGATTTATTATCATTGTGTTGTTACATCTATAGTCCGAGTTGTCTGAAAGACTTTGCATATTTAGTGGATATGGATCTGCAAGTTCGGCTTACTTAACACTCCACCCGACTAACTCCAGCACCACCATAGGGGTAGTAAAGACTGTTGCGTTATCCTTCAACAGGTTGGTGGTACCCATTGACATCTCCCTTTTCAATGTCTTCTCATAAATACCGTTTTACCATTTAAGAGAAGCGCTTATATCTTCCTTGCAGGAATCTCAATCACTGACGGACTAAATTCTCAACGTACTATCATAGATTGAACTCAGAAAACAATTGGAAACCATGGAGTACTGGAAAACGTTTCTGTCCTAGTTTGGGACTCTTCAACAGTATGCACCCCAGGGGATTAAACCTACGACCTTTCGATCGATTACAAGGCAAGCTCGTAGACCATTCAGCCACTCTTGGAAATTAGTCTGATTCTCTAGTGACTGACTGGCTTCAAGATGAAGTTCTAGTGAGAAGTCGTCACCGGCAGTGGGGTCCACCTGGTCAGGAGTGAGTTCAAGTACTCACTGATAACATTGGCAAGTGATCGCTCTAAATACATCACGAATTGGTTAAAGTTAGAATTTATGGGCTAGCCAGTCATTGAATCCGCGCCAAGTGTCTGAATGGTCTATGAGCTTGACTTGTAACCAGTAGGTTCCGGGTTCTCATACCTTGTTGCTGTATGCGTACTGGCGATGAGTCTCAAAGTATGACAAGACATCTGTCCAGTACTCCCTGGCTGTTTCTATCCTTTTCCACAATTTTCTCTCCTGTCTTTAGAATAGTTGTCACTAACAATATTGGTGTTTTTAGATATTATCGATTTGTTAAGTAAGATCACAATAGAGTCACCACGGTCCACTAAATATGCATAAATTGTAATAAGCATAAAAAATGTAATCGCATGCAGAATATCAAACAAAATTGAGGAGATTTCCACAACAAATTAAGGATCATTAGAAACTTGATGTCCAGCAGGGTAAGGACAGCGTCTGAACCAACCAGCTTCTTTTAGATACATTAGTTAGACTTCTTAATGTAGATCCCAATAGCCAGTCTCAGCAATATTTGTAGTAGACGAACTATTAAGTTTAAGATTAAGATTAGTTGGTATACGGTAGATGACTTTGAAAGCCGCCTTGTTAACATCAATCAATCATGTGTTCTGTATCCATAAGATGAGAGAGAACAGAGCCATGAAAGAATCTTGTTTGTCCTTTACTTAACCACTAGGCAGGATGGTGTTCGGAAATCCGATGATAAAGATGCCACATTGTACGGCCTCTGTAACTAATTGGTAGATACACATAGAAGAATCGAAATTAGGTAGTTAGTTTATCTTTAACTCCGAAAGTAAAATACAGGTTTGGTTTTGAAGAGACAGCATAATTCAGCAGCACTGAATGCTCTTTTAACCGGCGTATCCCTTATGCGTTCTGCGGAGCCAGAAGAGGAAATTATCGAAAATGATATTCTTTGCTCAATTTTCTTTTCCAAATGTCGGGATTCAACAGAACATCTCCAATTTGTACTGTTCTCTTCAGGTGGCACCACTCTTACCCATAGGCTATCATCTCTTCCTCGCACGACTTGCATATCATCTTCGGAGACACCTAATTCTTCGTTTCTCAGTCTAGTTCCACTCTACAGCGCCTATCTGGCTCGCTCAGTGTCATTCGATGGTCTCTTCAGCCTGTGTCCAGTTCATCCCTATTGTACGAACATTCTACATCTCAATGCTTATTTTTGCTTCTATGGAAAGACGACACACTGGCTGACGACTGAGTCCCCTTATTTCGTCTCGCCGATTCCAGCGAAGAATAAGTTTGTCCTTTTTATATATCTTCTTGTGCTTTAGAGTTTCTGTAGAGATTAGACTGATGTCAAGTCCGGGCTTAGGACCGGTTTTCTAGCTTGCGAACTGGTAAAGTGGGCGAGGTTTAAAAACTACGCGGGCCTTGGCAGTGGAACTTTTATGATGTGTGCAGTGCACCGTTGAACCTCACCCTCCCGACCTACTCCGTATTAATAATAATAGTAATAATAATAGCTTTATTCCAAACAGTACTTTCGGTACAAATATGGAATTTTTAACATGTAATACAATATTGCATTTAATTTCTTCATTACAGGAGCAATTATTAAAATAGGGCATTTACATTATTAATATTGTTCAATAAGAAGTGAATATAAAATTAAATGAAGTGAAAATATAGCGACACTGTAATAATGAAAACAAGAAACAATGCCGTTTACTTAGAGTTCCTCAGTAAGTTGGTTATTTCCTGTCTTACACACTTTTCACATCACATAAAATGTGCGCTAAATAAGATGAAATTCTGTAACCAATCAACCAAATCCCTACAAACCAATACTTGAAGATGTCGTAGAGTTTTCGTATTTAGCCGTCCAAGCATATAGTCTTCTATGGTTACTTCTAGTTCCCCTACCTGATTAGATTCAAGGACGAAGTTATGTATGGAGATGTTCAGAGTTGGACAGGATAATATTTGCTAATTTTTTTTGCAGGAATCCAAGTGTTTATCTATAATAGTATTAACGAGTTGGTTTAGCGACACACCACTCATTCTACTGACGGCCTTTAGTGCCCTTCCCAGTATGGTAAGGTCTTTCTTAAGTAGCCCAGGAGAGACTAATCGTTTGGGGGGGGGGGATCAATAAAGAAGCGTAGGTACTGATGATCTCAATGTCCAAGCCTCAGAATGGGAACATTATCATTTACTAAAGGTTGTAGATACACGCTGGTGAAAAGTTCCAAATAGAACTCATGAATTCCAACACTTTAGTATCAATCTGTTAGTCACTAGTAACTGGCCGTGTTCAGGTAGGCAGTTGTTACCTGGGTTCTTGTGGAAAGTTGTAACCGGTAGTGAGGTACAGCAAATCGGGTGTGAGGATGATTTACTAGCCACTGATGACATAGGCTATAGCCAGTCGCACTATATTGTGAATTGACACAAGTTGAATCGGCTCCCAATGGACTGATGGTCTACGAGGTTGCCTTGTAACCGGAAGTCCCTAGGTTCGAACTGCGGCGGTGAATGTATACTGATGAAGAGCTACAGACTAGGAAGGCGAAACGACTATCCAGTAATCCCTAGTTAGTTTTCCAATAGTTCTCCTTCTAACCGATGTCAGCTCATCAGGATGACATCCTTTAACCAATCAAAACCATGCAAGCCGACAAGGATATTCGAATAATTAGTCGCACACAATCATCAACCGAATGCCTTCTGACTGCTAACTGACAGACTAGCTTCAACATGGAACTTTACACAGATGTCCAGCAGTATTTAGAGTTGCCACACTCCCTCCATGTAGCACACAAAGCAACAGAAGAGGGTAAAGAGAGATAGCAAATAGAAGTATCACTGATGGAAAAAGAATAGTAATATGGTGGAAGAACAGTAGAGTTTTATTGGATATGACAAATCACAAAGGGTGAACGCATCTGCACCGGACATTGGCAACAAGGATTTCGACCCATATCACCACCAGTTGTTTCCAGCCTTCATTGGTTCTTACCATCCTGAGGACGCCAACCAGTCACGCAGTCAGTCTAAACCTGCCTCCCTACGTGGCTGGCTGACTGGCTGGCTTAAACTAACTGTTACGGATTTCTTCATTGGCTGATGAATTCATGTTTTGGTGTTGACCAGCATGTGCTAGCTCTTTTCCCACGTCATTGATCCTATGTCAGCGAATATTGCCCGTTGTCGAGGAAGGCGATGGCTACTCAGGCATGTGTAACAACACATGTGTCCTAATCATCTCAATCGATGAAACTGCTTCAAAACCTCGTCGATTGATTTCCCCTCCTTCTTTATCTAGCACTCAACCGAAGCCTCACCTCAATATCACCACATAACACGGGAGATAGAACACAGACACCTATGATTACTATTACACCTGATGATCACTATTCACCGTTCATGCTTAGTGATCGATCAATTCGATCTATGAAAGTGCATTTGTTTATAAAGGCATTTAATCATTATTTAGAAGGGAAATAATCAAATCTTGTTATATAAGAAGTTGAAGTGTTACAGAGAAAGAAAGAGAGAAACAATATCAACATTATCACTATCATATTATTATTCCCTTGCCTTCGAAGTGAAGACGCGAGTAAGACCAGGCTGGCTGACTGCCTGGCTGGCTGCCTACTATATCTGATGATTTTCCTGATGGTAGTAGACTGGATAATGCGACAGACAGACAAATATCGTGGGCAACGAGGAGACAGGCATAAAATCGACCCATACAAAAAAACTTGGATCTGGATTTCGCCGATAACATATATATGTCTGATTTCCCACAAACTGAAAGATATGCAAGTGAAAAGCAACAAGTTGACAGAGGAAGAAGCGTCAAAGATAGGACTTCACTTCAGGTGAGCATAGAGAAAACAGAGGTAATGAAGATTCCCGGCCATTAGCAACGGTAACAGCACCACCAACAACAACAACAGACAACAATCAGCCAGCATAAATAGGAGAAATCTGAAAGCAGTAATCTCCTTTAACTACCTATCTACCTCCAATCTTTAGCCGATCTAGCGAGCCATGTTCCCTGTGTGTGAATTTATCCATCTCTGTTTTCACCGGAATATTGGTTGAGCAATACGTTCTTGGTTAGTTAGTTAGTTAGTTCGAAGAGTTTCTTTTTCCTAATTCTTTCTTGTTAGCTGTTTGATTTTGAATATGGTGACAGAGAGGGGGGGTACCTTATTGATAAATGCTGGAGTAACTTTTCGTGAAGCATATATAATAGAAGAACTGACTGACTTGATATTGGTGTTGAACAGAATCCGAATCTTGTTCTTCATGTTGAGTACAGTACAGTAGATTTCCACATTGATTCCAGAGTGATGAAGGCCCGTCTTGCCTTTCCGATTCTGACTGACTTTGATATCTTCATCCGTTCCACTGACCTGTGGTTGGAACGATGCTTCCTAGATTACTGAAGGAAGTAACGTTCTTGAATTGTGTCCTTCGTTCACGAAATGTACTCTAGAACTTTTTATGATTAACATTCAACAAAATGTCGTCGTGTATTTCTCCAAGGAGAAAAAGAAGAGATATCACAATAATGGGTTGGCTTGTGTTTCAGGTCACATAGAAGAGAGTCACACAATCAATCAATCTTTTATTTGAAGATCCTTGAAAAGGAGAAATTATTGTGTGATAAACTCCACTGAAAATTCTGTACATCAAAAAAATATCGTTGAGAATAAAGCTATTACTTTTATTATTATTATTATTATTATTATTATTATTATAACTTGAAGGTCTTGAGTCTCATCCATAACGGTGTCACAGTTGGGTGCTGATGAAGAATCCTAAATTAGGGACGAAACAACTGTCCAGATAAATTATTCTCATTTCCTAATTGTATGCGAGACAGTGAAGTCATTTTAACAAATTCAGTGGATAAATAAATAAATAGAAGACTAGAGGTCAATTTGAAATGTCAATTTATTATTTTCCAGACAGATTTAAATAATGTCAAGGGTAGGTAGGGTTGAGGGCGGTGGGGGGATACAGCAATGAGAATAGGAAAAAGGTGTATGCACAACTAACCTTGAAATGAATGAAATTCAGACAACAAACCTTCTCTTTGCATTTAACTAAACCTATGTGACCTTTTTGTCGGAATTGAAAGTTGATTTGATCTAGTCTAACTGTCAGATTGAGTTATAAATAGAATTGTCTGTTTGATAATAGTAGATTGTTGGAGGCAATCGGCCACAGGAAGCCTTGGCCGCACCTAGGTTTCGTGCTAGTTGACACTCACACCAGTCAGTCAGAAAGGTGTGTCTGCAACCACCTTGAAGGAACAACTCACGTCCCTTCTGAGATTCGAACCCTCATCACCCAGTGAGAGCTGTAGTCAGAGACGTTACCACTGAGGAGCTAGTTGGGCTGGCTCGTGACTGACCTCCTGTAGGACTGTATTATATATTTTGATTGGACATTAGTAACTAGAGCGACGTGTCTAGTCCTTTGTTTGGTGCAGACTGAATTCCATCATTCAGGTTTGTACCGTGATGGCGATTTGCCTAGAATGGTGGCTACATTACAAACCTGACTGACTGATAGAATTCAGTCTGCACTAAACAAAGGACTAGACACATTACACTAGATACTAAAGTCCAATGAAAATACCCTCGTATATGACACAAATCAGCTGTCAAAGACTTTGTGGAGTATTATTATTATTATTATATTATTGTTCCCTTGGGTTCTGAGTGGAACATAGGGCTGACTTCAACAACACATCTCCACTGTCTTCTATTTTCTTCTCTCCTTTTCAGCGGACTGGCTTCACGACTACCCAAACTGTCTTATCTCTTCCTCGCATGTTCTCCTCCATGGCATCGTCACACTGAAAACCCACTCGTCGCTTCCCATTTGAATTGTACTCGAGGGCCTGGCGCGGAACATCATTCCACGGTCCCCTCAATGTATGCCCGATCAGTCCATCTCCATTTTCTACTACATATTTGTTGGACAATAAGCTCTTGGTCGGCTTTTTTCCATAGTTTCTTGGTACTAATTCTTTCTGGCTGACTGGCCATTTGATCTTCACTATAGAGCCACCCAGTGAAGTGGATATAGCTGTTGATAAAAGTTTGCAACTTGTTGGAAGTGCAAGTTTCTGACCCGTATAGAATAATAACAACAAGTTTTTACTTAACCATCCCCTCTAACTATTTTCCCTCACCTAACCTTATATCAGCTAACATCACTTATCAAAGAAGGCAGTGGCTTGACATAATTCAATACAAGTGTCCAAAGATGTAATACAAAAACAAAACAAAAAGAAAAGAAGAGAAAACCATGTCAACAATCGTAGAAACAGTGGAGAAACAGACTTCAATAAAAACAGAATACAAATTAACACATAAAACTCTCTGTATTCTACTCAAAACGTATAGTGCATATTATGTATGCTATATCTATATTATCATTCTTGTATTTTTTTAAATTTAAAACTACTTTATTTATACTAGAATAATAATAAGAATTAATAAATTTATTAATAAAATGAAATTATTTGTGAATATTTTAAAGTTCACTTGTTTACAAGGTTATACAACTTATTCTTATCTATCCTATCTATCTAAAATTTATAAAAACTTACTTTATAAAATATTAAAATATATGTGATACCACTTTATTAATGAAATATCTATTAACTAATCAATATATATATATATATATATATATATATATATATATATATGCTGATATGTTTACGCGTATACATTCGACCCATTATCTAAAATAATCGATAAATTCAATCGATAAAATTCAAATTTAAATCTACTAAGATTACTAATGCTTCTTCTCCTTCTTTCTTCATTATTCTGCTTTACATATAACACAAATTATCTACATTAACGCAGGTGTTTGTTCAACTCACTGCCTATCTATTTAACTGAATAAAGAGAAGAAAGAAAAGAAAGGAGAAAAAGAGGAATATGAAGAAAAGATCAGCTAAACATTCTTTATTAGACAGAAATATTCTACATGGTCATCAATTAAGAGATTTATTTTTATTTGGTAAAACTGGTATCTCGACAATAAGGAGTTATCTACATGAATTAATTCATTCCTTAGAAGTAATGCTATTTCGTTCTTATGCTATATCAAGTTATTTTAATGAAGTATTATTAAATCAAACAAAACGTCATTTTCGTTTAATGCTTAAATATGCTGCATATATTACATTTGTATTATTTTTAGAAACAACTGTACGTATCCCAGATTCAAGAATTAATGATATAAAATATTCATTTATATTAATTATTCCAATTATTTGTGCTTATTTATCAACATTATTTCCATTGAAACATAACACGTATGTATTTATGTCATCGATTTTATGTATATGTTTTCCAATTATCATTTTATGGTCTAGACGGATAGCATTCCGGGCAGATCACGGACTGTTAACACCAATCATTATCCTGATTATATGTATGTATATTTTCTCACCACTGAATTTCTCAATATGTATTTGTTCATCTGCAATTATAGTAGCAATTTATACTGTATTAAAAGTTATTCATATCTCTATAATTGATATTGATTCACGGAATGAACAACAAAATCAAAAGAAAGAAATACCCTATTTTGATATATATAAACGTTTAAGATCATCTATTGTTGGTGTTCGTTTTGCTGAAGCTGAGGCTGAGGCTGGTGTCCAGTCAACAAATCAATATGATACACGTATCTTTGAACCAGAACATTTAATTGAAAAAATTTTTACAGTAACATTATTATTGCTACCAATATGTATTGTTGGCATATATTTACGTTTTGGTAATATACTAAAACAAAGATTTGCTTTTTTAAAATTAGGTAAAAGTGTTGAAGCACGTAATCAGTGTAAATCAGCATTGAAACATCAAGTTCATTGGATTGAAGCTATTATGCCATCATGTATACGTGAAGAATATCAATTATTTCGTAATCGTAAATTATATCCTAATAAAGATATGTGGGTATTTAATAAAACTTATCAAAATGTTAGTATATTATTTGCTGATATTGTTGGTTTTACAAATATGAGTTCAAATAAAACAGCTTTACAAGTTGTTACTATGCTAAATAATTTATTTAATCGGTTTGATGATTTATGTTTATTAACAAAATGTGAAAAAATTGGTACATTAGGTGATTGTTATTATTGTGTCTCTGGTTGTCCTATCCCACAATATGATCATGCTAAATGTTGTATTGAAATGGGATTAGGTATGTGTCGAATTATTAAAGTATTTAATTATGATTATAATGAATCTGTTAGTATGCGTGTTGGTATTCATACTGGTCGAGTGAATGCTGCTATTATAGGCATAAAACGTTTTCGTTTTGATGTCTATTCTTATGATGTTATTATTGCTAGTGAGCTGGAAAGTACTGGTCGAGCTGGTCGTGTACATGTTTCACAAATCACATTTGATTTAACTAAAAATATTTATAATTTTTCAAAAGGTGAACCATTAATTATTAAAAAAGAAGAACAATGTGGTATTGCTGGTATGCAATTAACTAAAACTACAATGGACACGTATTATGTTGATCCACGTTCATCATTATTACATGAAAAACATGAAA